GCCTGAGCTTGTTTCTCCCCATCCAGGTCTGCACAGCTTCCAGGCACCAGGACATCACAGCAAGGGCATCATTGGGTTGGTTCAGGGTGGAAATGTACAGCTGAGTGTCATCAGCGTACTGATGGAACTGCACCCCGAAACCACAGATGATCTCACCCAACGGCTTCACATAAATGTTGAACAGGAGGGGCGAGAGGACTGACCCTTGTGCATTCCACACATAAGGTGTGCCAACACAAACTGTGACCAGTCAGAGAGAAAGGAGGAGAACCACCACAGCATGGTGCCACCCACTCCCAACCCCTCTAACTGGTGCAGCATGATACCATGGTTGATGGTATCAAAAGCCGCTGAGAGATCTAAAAGGACCAGGACAGAGGAATAACCCCTGTCCCGAGCCCTCCAGAGATCATCAACCAATGCAACCAATGCCGTTTCCGTGCTGTACCCAGGCCTGAAACCCGACTGGAGCGGATCTAGATAGATCACATCATCCAGGTACTGGGGAAGTTGTCGCGCCACCACACTCTCAACAACCTTTGCCACAAAGCGAAGGTTGTAGACTGGACGATAATTTGCTAAAAGGCTGGGTCCAGGGAGGGCTTCTTGAGGAGGGGCCTCACCACCGCCTCTTTCAAGGCAGCGGGAAAATAACCCTCACTCAAAGAAGCATTGATAATCCTCTGGAGCCAGCCACATGTAACCTCCCGTGAAGCCAGCACCAACCAGGAGGGACACGGGTCCAATAAACATGTGGCCATGCTAAGCCTACCCAGAATCCTGTCCATGTCCTCGGGAGCCACAGGGTCAAACTCCTCCCAGATAACACTCTCAAGACCATTCGCCCTCATCTCCCCCCCACCACCCAAATCTACCCAGTCGGAGTCCAGTCCTTCCTGAATTTGAGCGACTTTATCATGCAGATACTGCACAAAATCCTGATCTCTACCCTGCAAGGGGTCTTCCCGTGCTCCCGGATGGAGCAGGGAGCGGGTCACTCTAACCAGGGCAGCTGGGCGGTTATCTGCAGACGCGATAAGAGTGGAAAAATAATTAAATTTTGCCGCTTTTATTGCCACTAGGTAGGTCTTAATATGAGACCTCACCAGTGTTTGGTTGGATTTGGAAAGGCTAGCCCTCCAACCGCTCTCCAGGTGTCTTTTCCAGCGCTTCATCTCCCTCAGCTCCTTGGAAAACCAGGGAGCCAAGTGAGATTGGCGCCGGGTCAGAGGCCGCAAAGGCATGACACGGTCCAAAGCTCCAGCAGCCGCCCTATCCCAGGCAGCCACCAGGTCTTCAGTCGGATCGTGAGCCAGAACCTCAGGAAATGGCCCAAGCTCCATCTGGAAACTATCAGGCACCTGGGGTGGAACCATCTGGTTGGTTCCGCCTCCCTGCAGCAGGTTGTAGCAGTCTGAAGATCGAGTCGAAGGAGAGAATGATCTGACCATGACAAGGGCTCAATCACTACATCCCCTATATCCAGGCCATTCAGCCACTGACTAGAGACAAAAACCAAGTCCAGCGTGTGCCCCCCCCCTCATGTAAGTGGGGCCATGAACTAACTGGGTCAGGTCCATAGCCGTCATGGAAGCCATGAACTCCCGAGCTGCCTCAGACTCCACCTGCTGGTGGCTCAGCAGACTGATAGCATTGTGATTAACACCAGCTGTCTGCAATTACTGTAAGTTCGAATTTCACCAGGCTCAAGGTTGGCTCAGCCTTCCATCCTTTCTAAGGTAGGTAAATTGAGGACCCAGTTTGTGGGGGCAATAAGCTGACTTTGTATAAATATACAAAAGTATGAAGGCTATTGCTTAACACATTGTAAGCCGCCCTGAATCTCCAGAGAAGGGCGGCATATAAATCAAATTTGTTTAAAAAAAGACGTTTCACCAATGGATGGCAGGTTGAAATCCCCCATGACCCTAAGCCTGGGGGTATCAACCACCACCCCGACTATTACGTTGAGCAGCTCAGGCAGGGCTGCCACCACGTGGCAGGGAGCCAGGTACGTGACCAGCAAGCCCACCTGCACCCTATGACCCCACTTCACAAGGAGGGACTCACATCCGTCTATCTGAGGTAGAGTGGCCTTCTTCAGATCAAGATCTTCCTTTATAACAACCACCACCCCTCCGCCCCTACCCTAAGGCCTCGGTCGATGGAATGCATGGAAACCTGGTGGGCACATTTCAACCAGGGGGAACCCCCTCCTGGTCCAAACAGGTTTCTGTAATACCCACCAGGTCCGCTCCCCCCTCCAAAACAAGATCACAAATGAGCGGGGCTTTATTTACCACAGACCTGGCATTGCACAACATCAACCAGAGGCCAGGGCCTTGAGGCTCTGTGCAACCCGGGGGACGAGAGGAGCATTGGGGGCCAGAGCGCGCCACCACTCAGAGACAGCGAGCATGTGCCCCCACAACAGGATATGGCCCCTTGCTCCCACTATGTCTGCCCCTCCCACCCACAGTACTAATGGAGTAGCCCTCGTTGGTATGGACTATAGCCCCCTCCTTGTCCCAGAGCCCCGCACCCCCCCATGCTGCAACCCCCTGCTGGACCAGGCCCCACCCTCAGTGGGTTTTCCCCAAACCCACTACCCCCCACCTCCTGGGTCACCTTAAAATTTGATTTAAAACCCTAGTTAAAAAGCCCCTCAGGCCCCGCTTTGAAACATGCCACCTCTTGGGTTTCTAAAACCCGTCCTTGAGGTAGGCCTTCGATAGACTAGAAGGCAAAGTCCATGAGAGGGGGGCATCTCGCAGTGAGAGGAGGTCCGCCAAAGTGTAAGCCAGTTGAAAATGTAAGAGGTAGATGAAAGGTGAATATAGGCGCCGGCGATGGTAGAGCAGGGAGGCAAATGCAGCGCCATAGGGCGTAAGGGTACTGGAAATCCATCTGCTCTCTCACAGCGATGAAAAAGTCAGAAAAACAGCTGTGACGATTTTTAACCAGGGAGAAAATGACCGCAGCAGCCCTCTCATGACAGCTAGGTGGCAAAAGCAACTAGCGGAGTTTGTAGACCATTCCCCCGGAATGAAATAGCAGCGCTAGTCCAAGACTCTCAGTCGCTTGCCCTTGGCCCGCAATTCCTTTCCCCTGTGCCGAGATCGATGGAAGGCGATGGAGGGGAGGCAGTAATAGAATGATGACAGGAAAAAAAAAAGGGGGGGTCAGGTGGCAATAAATAGGAATGGTGATGGTAAGGTTCCAAAACACTGAAGCTAGCAGACTGGTCCGGCCTAAAACAGAGTCAGGGCAGCAGTCAGGAGAGGCCATATCCTGGGGTGGAGAGGGATTCCAAGGGGGAGACAAAGATGGAGGATTGTCAATCCCCTCTAACCCACTCCCAGCCCCTCAGATCTTCCTTGGCACACTCACCCTTGCAGCCACCGCTGATCCTCTTGGGACAGTCTTTGCCCAGATCTTCCAGGGCCTCAAGTCACAGTGGGGGATTTCAAAGTCCCAGCTAAACAAAAGCTGAGCAGTACATCCCCACAGCCTTCAGGTCAGAGCCCATTGCCATTGGAGCAGCCTCTAACATCCAGTTGCACCCATCACACCGCAAAATCTCCACGGCCCGGGCCCCATCCCAGAGAGCTGCCGCCACCCTCCCAGCGGCGCCCAACTGATGCAATCCTTCTTCACTTCAAATCGCTCAAATCGCTGTCCCCGGGCCATCCGAGAGCCAGTTCCAGCCAGGGACGGCTCATCCAAACCGCCAAGCTCTCAGCAAACTGGATGTGGGGGTGAAAGATGGAAATTCAGCCCCCACCACTCCCAAACATTCAATCCTCTCAATATCCTCACCAGCCGATCTTCCAGAGGACTGCCATCTTGCGCATGCCGCAGGACCAAACTGACACATAGTCAAGATCTTTTTGAAGGGTAGTAGCATTGTCAGTGGTGTTGAATAGTTTTACATCATCAGCGAAGAGAACACAGTTGCTTTTAATATGATCGCAAAGGTCATTTATGTAAAGTATAAAGAGTATTGGTCCTAAAACGCTGTCTTGGGGAACACCACTGTTAACAGGTACAGGATTTGATAGAGCGCTTCCTTTTTTGACCACTTGTTGCCTGTTTAACAGGAAGGTAGCTATCCATTTATGTAGGAGTCTAGACATGCCATAAGATTTTAATTTTAAAAGTAGTTTATCATGTACCAGTGAATCAAAGGCTTTACAGAAGTCTATGTAAATTGCATCTATTGCTTTGCCCTGATCGAGATGTGTAGTCCATATGTTTTGCAGTGTAGTAGTTGTAGATTACAGGAGAAATGTTTTTCTGAAACCAAATTATTTGTTGGAGAGTAGGTTGCTTGTCTCTAGGTGGAGGATAATAGATTGGTGGATGATTGATCCATGACTTTACAGGTGACGCAACATAAGGAGATTGGTCTGTAATTTTCAATTAGGTTGGGGTCTCTGTTTTTGAAGATAAGAATGACCATGGCTTGTGACCATTGGTTGGGCAACTCTTATAAGGTTCTTCAGGGCCATTCCTCTGATCTATAAAGATATGGATATTTCCCCATTTGTAACACAATAGCCAGGCAAGAGAGAGAACCTGATGATCTTATTTTATTGGCAGTTAACCAGGAGTGGAAATGTCAGACATTGTAGCCCAGTTTTGTATGTGAGTCATTATTGAACACACATAACTCCTCCAATTCAAGTGATCCTGTTTAGGTCACCATAACCTCATATATCTTACGATCATTACTGCCTCTTTTGAAAAGTAACATACATATAGTAAATGTAAAGACATTACATTTTGTCTTATTATTCTCTTGCTTTATACTGAAGGATTTTACCTGAGCAATAACTCAGATCATAGATATTTTTTTGTTAATATTTTACTGTGCAATCCTGTTAATACAGTTTAATTGTTTTTCAGTAGTGTCATATCTACTCCCTTTTGGAATCATTGTTATGTTTTGAACATATATTTCTGCCTCCTGTTTTTCTTTGACTGTCTCTGTATTTCAGGTTCATTCTTTTCTGAGAAGTGTCAGATTCAACAACAGTGTTGGTGAAAAGATCTCCTTTGATAAAAATGGAGAATTCATTGGTGGATATGATATTATCAATTGGATCACATTCCCAAACAAATCCTTTGTTAGAGTCAAAGTTGGAGTGATAGATCCCACAGCTCCACCAGAGAAGTTCTTCAATATTTCTGTAGATTCCATCACGTGGCCAGTAGGCTTTAATCAGGTTAGCTGTTTAAATCTAAATTGGTCTGTCTTCATTCATGTAGCATAAAATATATATTGATGATTGTTCCAGAGCATCATCTCTGAACTAACCTAAGAACAAATGCCCTGCAGAAGGAAAAAATATCTATAACATCTATAATGTTTACTTTTCTAATACTTGGTACAGAATATTGTATCCTTTACTTTGTGCCCTCTGCACTCTATGAATTATAGACTATGGTTTTCATGGTTTTGATGTAAAAGCTTTAATACACTGTATTACATTTCATCAGATCATAATTCAGAAGTTGAGAAAACTAACTTTAACTGACCAGCATAGATAATGCCTTTGGAGAGAAGGGAGGATGGCGAGCTGTGGGAACAGGAACCTAATCACAACAACATTATTTCACATGAGATCAAGGACGGGTTGCTGGAGGGTAGTGACTGAAGTTTGGTAGCAGCTGAGGCAGGAGATTGATTGGGTATATGATGTGAATGTAACACGGCAGGGTGTGAGCTTTAGTGTAGGTGGGGGAAAATGTGGGATTTTAGATTTCGATTTTTTCCAGATGTGCCAACATGATTTCTCTAATAAATTCCTACTTTGATGGACTTCGTCTTGGAGTTCTGAATTCCAATGAGGAACTCCATTAGAATTCAACTTGGAACACTGAAAGATGGTTTGGGAAAATGCCAATAATTGTAGATATTTAATTAATTATAATTTCACAACAAATACAACTAAAATGATGTCATGACATCACTTTTGCTTATCAATTCATTTTTATTATGTTAATTCTATTTTAACAGTATCACTCCAAGCATTTATTTCACCTCTGTATCTTAAAACATTCTTTTTCATTCAATGATAGGCATTACCTTTATCTTTGTGTAATGATCCTTGTGAGACAGGACACTGCAAGGCCAAGAAAGAAGGGGAGTCGTTTTGCTGCTATGGTTGCTGGCTGTGCCCAGAAGGGAAAATATCAAAGGAGAAAGGTAGGAAATTTCCAACTATAATGGGACTAAGACATTGGGATACAACACTGTCTATAATCAACTGTATGAATTCCACTGTGTTCTTTTTTAGATATGGATGACTGCTCCCCATGTCCTGTAGATCAATATCCAAATCCTGACAAAAATATGTGCATTCCAAAACGGATCACTTTTTTGTCCTACGAAGAACCTTTGGGGATCAGTCTGACTGTTCTTTCCCTTTGTTTTTCTTTAATGACAACTTTGATCATCACAATATTCATGAAACACAAAGACACTCCCATCGTCAAAGCCAACAACCGAAATCTCACTTATATACTTCTAGTTTCCCTCCTCCTCTCTTTCCTTTGTGTCTTTCTATTTGTCGGGAGACCAGATAAGATTTTGTGTCTCCTTCGACAACCAGCTTTTGGCCTCATCTTTTCTGTAGCAATTTCTTGTGTATTGGCCAAAACCTTTGTTGTGGTTCTAGCATTCATAGCCACCAAACCTGGTTCCAGATTGAAGAAATGGGTGGGTGGAAGAATGGTCAGCTACATTATTATTTCCTGCTCCTTTGTTCAAATATGTATTTGTGCTGTATGGCTAATAATATCCCCACCATATCCAGATTGTGATATGCAGTCAATGTCTGAAGAAGTCATCTTGGAGTGCAATGAAGACTCAGTCATGTTCTGCTGTGTTTTGGGCTTTATGGGTTTTCTTGCTCTGGTTAGCTTCTCTGCTGCTTTTCTAGCTAGGAAGTTACCTGATAGTTTCAACGAAGCCAAATTCATTACCTTCAGCATGTTGGTCTTCTGCAGTGTTTGGCTGTGCTTTATTCCAACTTATCTAAGCACAAGGGGAAAATATATGTTAGCTGTGGAGATCTTCTCCATGACCTCCTCCAGTGCTGGCTTACTGGTATGCATCTTTCTTCCCAAATGTTTTATCATTGTTATGAGACCTGAACTGAACAATAAACATCAGCTCATGAAAAGAAAGTTTTAATTAAAAAAAATGTATATGTATTTCTAGGAGAATTTTCCAATTTTGAAGTCTGTGACCAATTTAAAATTTTATTTAACTGAAATGGATTTGCTTCTGTATTTCAAAATGGGAGGCAAATTTGAAAAATCTGAATGATGCAACTATTACTTCCACTCTTTTTAGATCTATGCTTAATTTTATTTGTTTTTAATAAATCTATGATTTGTTTTCTTTAATTTAGGATTTTAAGTCATTTGGTACCATTGAATGGCAAACGTTTTTCTGTCTTAAATTATTGAATGGCCAAGTCATACAAGAAGTAATAGTTTAGGCATCCTTTTTGTTTTAGATGGTTAGTTTAGTTTAGTTTAGTTTATTTGATTTGTATACCGCCCTACTCCCGAAGGACTCAGGGCGGTGAACAGCCAACAATAAAATACATAGATACACAAAATTTAAAAACCAGATAAAATCAAATTAAATCATTTTTGGCCCAGACAGATTAAAACACCCCAATAATTTAAAAACAGATTAAAATTTAGATATTTAAAAAGGGAAGAGATTAGGCCAAGCCCGCCTGATGGAATAAAAAGGTCTTCACAGCACGGCAGAAGGTGCGCAGATCCGGGATCCTCCGTATCTCCGGGGGGAGCTCATTCCAGATAGTAGGTGCCCCCACAGAGAAGGCTCTCCCCCTAGGGGCCGCCAGTCGACACTGTTTGGCTGACGGCACCCGGAGGAGTCCCTCTCTATGAGAGCGTACTGGCCAGTGGGAGGCTATTGGTGGTAGTAGGCAGTCCCGTAGATAACCAGGTCCTAAGCCATGGAGCGCTTTAAAGGTGGTAACCAAAACCTTGAAGCGCACCCGGAAGACCACCAGGAGCCAGTGCAGCTCGCGCAGGAGAGGTGTTACATGGGAGCGCCATGTCGCTCCCATTACCACCCGCACGGCTGCACTCTGTGCCAGTTGGAGCCTCCGGGTGCTCCTCAAGGGGAGCCCTATGTAGAGAGCGTTGCAATAGTCCAGGCGGGAGGTGACGAGGGCATGAGTGACCGTGCGTAACGAGTCCTGATCCAGAAAGGGACGCAACTGGCGGATCAGGCGAACCTGATGAAAAATCCTCCCAGTCACGGCCGTCAAGTGCTCTTCTAAAGACAGCCGTGAATCCAGGAGGACGCCCAAGTTGCGAGCCCTCTCCGTGGGGGCCAATGATTCGCCCCCAATAGTCAGTGATGGCGCCAACTGACTATATCGGGACATCGGAAACCACAGCCACTCGGTCTTGGATGGGTTGAGCCTGAGCCTGTTCCTCCCCATCCAGATCCATACGGCCTCCAGGCACCGGGACATCACTTCAAGGGCATCGTTGGGGTAATCCGGGGTGGAGATGTACAGCTGGGTGTCGTCAGCGTACTGATGGTACTCCACCCCGAAACCACGGATGATCTCTCCCAGCAGCTTTACATAAATGTTGAACAAAAGGGGCGAGAGGACCGACCATTGTGGCACCCCACATATGAGGGGCCTCGGGGTTGACCTCTGCCCCCCTGCCAACACAGACTGCAATGGTCGGAGAGAAAGGAGGAGAACCACCGTAATACAGTGCCCCCCACCCCTAACTCTTCCAACTGGTGCAGCATGATACCATGGTCGATGGTATCAAAAGCCGCTGAGAGGTCTAATAGGACCAGGACAGAGGAGCAACCCCTGTCCCGAGCCCTCCAGAGATCATCAACCAATGCAACCAATGCTGTTTCCATGCTGTACCCAGGCCTGAAGCCCGACTGGAACGGATCCAGATACGTTGTTTCATCCAGGTACTGGGGGAGCTGTCGCATAACCACACTCTCAACAACTTTCGCAACAAAACGAAGGTTGGAGACCGGACGATAATTAGCCAACACTGCCGGGTCCAGGGAAGGCTTCTTGAGGAGAGGCCTCACCACCGCCTCTTTCAAGGTGGTGGGGAAGTCACCATCACCCAACAAAGCATTTATAATCCCCTGGTGCCAGCCTCGCTTCACCTCCCGGGAAGCCAGCACTAACCAGGAGGAGCACAGGTCCAATAAACATGTGGTCGCGTTCAGTCCACCCAGAATCCTGTCCACGTCATCAGGGGTCACAGGATCAAACTCATCCCAGGTAACATTCTCAAGACCTGCCTCAGTCATCCCCCCTGGAACTACCCAGTCGGAGTCCAGATCTTCCCGAATCTGAGTGATTTTGTCATGTAGTTATTGAACAAAATCCTTGGTTCTACCCTCCAAGGGGTCCTCCCACGCTTCCTGCTGGAGCAGGAAGTGGGTCACCCTAAACAGAGTGGCCAGGCGATTATCTGATGACACAATAAGAGCAGCAAAATATGTACATTTTGCTGCTTTTATTGCCACTAGGTAATTCTTAATATGAGATCTTACCAGTGTCTGGTTGGATTCAGAAAGACTGGCCCTCCAACTACTCTCTAGGCGTCTTTTCCAGCACTTCATCTCCCTCAGCTCCACAGTGAACCAAGGAGCTATGTGAGATCGGCGCCGGGTCAGAGGCCACAAAGGCACAACCCGATCCAGAGCTCCAGTGGCTGCCCTATCCCAGGCGGCCACTAGGTTCCTAGTCGAGGCGTGTGCCAGAGCCTCAGGAAATGGCCCAAGCTCCATCTGGAACCTATCAGGTTCCATCAGGCGCCTGGGGCGGAACCATTTTACCGGCTCCGCCTCCCTGTGATGGGGTATAGTGGTTCAAAGGTCAAGGCGAAGGAGAGAGTGATTCGACCATGACAAGGGCTCGGTGACTATGTCCCCTATCTCAAGATCACTCAACCCCTGTCCAGAGACAAAAATCAGGTCCAGCGTGTTTCCCCCTGGGTGGGTGGGGCCATGAATTAACTGGGTCAGGTCCATAGCTGTCATGGAAGCCATGAACTCCCAAGCCACCTCCAACGTCTCACCCACAGATGGCAGGTTGAAATCCCCCATGACCATAAGTCTGGGGGTATCTACCGCCACCGTGGCGATAACGTCGAGGAGCTCAGGCAGGGCTGCTGCCACGTGGCAGGGAGCCAGGTACGTGATCAGCAAACCCATCTGAACCCCATGACCCCACTTCACAAGGAGGGACTCACAGCCGGCCGTCTGAGGAACAGTGGCCTCCCTCGATGATTCATTCCTGAAGATTTGGGGAAATAAACACTCTGGCAGGCAGCCCTTTTGCTGTGAAACAGCTGCCTGCTGTTATGAGCCATGGTGGCACAGTGTTTTGAGTGCAGTACTCTACTTTTGCTGATCAACGGCTGCCAGCAGTTTGGCAGATCAAATCTCATCAGGCTCAAGGTTGACTCAGCTTTCCTCAAGGTTGACTCAGCCTTCCATCCTTCCGAGGTGGGTAAAATGAGCACCCAGATTGTTGGAGACAATATTGCTGACTCTGTAAACTGCTTAGAGAAGGCTGTAAAACACTATGAAGTGGTATATAAGTCTAAGTGCTATTGCTATTGTTGGTAGAATTTCATCTCAATGCAGAGCTGAAATTCTTTGGCTGGTAGTTTGGTTTCTCTGTCCACTTAATAATCAGGGAGATTGTTTAATGAAAGCAATCAGGAATGCCAGAATTGCAATCATTGAAAAAGGAGCCATTTGGATGTCTGGCTTAATGACACTAACCCTTACCATGCTTTGTTCAATGATTGAAATTCTACTCTTAATTATGGTTATACATTGACAATTACCTGTATAATATAATATACAAATGGACCAATGGAGAAATATATGGTTGAAAGAATTAAAATTTTCACTTTTAGTCTTACAGATAATGTTTATAAAATGATGTATTGTTGGAAATTACCACCAGAGAAATTTATCTAGGTTGCATAAAGTCTTTTAATTTTTGCTGCTGGAAATGTGAAAAACATGAATGGAAACTTTATTATGTATGATAGACATGTAAACAAGCCAAAAGTATTTTGAATAGAAATAAATAATTCAGAATATTTGGAAGACTAATATACAATTGAAACCAGAGACATTTCTTTTAGGATAAATACATAGATAACTAGGAAAAAAAAAAGCCATGGAACTTTATTTTTATATATGAAAATTGCAGCAAGACTATTATATACTCAAAACTGAAAATCTTTGTCTCAACTCTGGCGCGCCTGGCAGCCTGGGGCTGCCATTCTGGTGGGGGAGATTGCGACAGGATGATCCAAACACCGCCCACCATCCGGGACTAACTTTCTTCCACCCACTTGGCCTCCTAATAAAACAATGGAGCCGTGGCAGCATCAACAGCTGAGAGGTAGTGAGGGAGGCAATGGTGGCAAACAGCTGAGAGGTGGCCGCGGCCAACTGGGCAGCAGCCACCTGCTAAACGAACGGTTCCAGGGTCACATGGTGATGGGATTGTGTACGTGATAGGGTGGGGAGGCGGGAAGAATTTAAAAGGTGATGGGGAGCACTGAGTGGTTAGCCCTGACTAGAATTCATTGTTTTGCTGAAGCATTCCTTGTTGGTCAGTTTGTGTTGGAGCAGAGATAAAACTCTACAAACCAGAACTGTGCTCCAGAACCTTCTGGAACCTGACACTTTGATTATACCCACAATAGACGAATGGTTAGTAAAGATGAAGGAACTTGTTGGCTAAAATAATTTTAATTTAGAAGAGTAGAGAACAACATCTATTTGTGTTTTTGCATAAACTGAAAAAATGCCCTTAAGATTTGTGGTTTCACTGATTAGGAAAAAACTGGGTAATAGAAAAGAGTGTGCTTTCTTTGGTAATTATAGAGTAAGATATAATTTTGTCATTACTGGAAGCAAAGGAAATCAGAAATTGGAAGCTTCTTCTTTCTGTATTTCTTTTTCTTCTTTCTTTCTGTACTTTTTTTCTTTTCTAAAATAATTTATAAAATGTGCAATATTCAACAAAAAGATGGATTATTTTTAAATATCATCAACATACCACTGGAGTTTATACTTGCACTGCATCCATGTATTATCCTTAATGTCTAAAAATTGCCTTACCACAGTGGTAAAGATTTAAGAATAAAATAAAATTAGCAAGAGCAAAATGTGACATCTCTGCCAAATCTCACTTTAAATCCTGTGGGTCTGAAATAATTTGAGTTTGCTTGACTCTTGCACATGTTTACAGTTGAATCTGAATCTACTGAATAAAGTGCTATGGAAAGCTGTAGCTAACCACCACTCACTTTAAAAATTAAAGTTCTTTCACCTCACCCCACAATGCTAATCCTATTTGCAAATTGACAAAAGTCAATTGCTCAGGAATTTCTCTTTATTAGATTATCCCTTTTATTCAGATCAGGCCTCACAATAATGATGTAGCATTTGGGGAAAAAGACACAGGTTAAGAGCCCAGCACTGGAGGCCAAGAGGGAGAAGATCTCCACAGCCACTGTGAATTTCCCTTTGGTGCTCACATAGGCAGGGATAAAGGATAACCAGACACTGCAAAAAACCAGCATACTAAAGGTAATAGACTTGGTTTCCTGGAAACTGTCTGGTAATTTCCTAGCTAGGAAAGCTGCAATAAAACTGACCATAGCCAGGAAGCCCATAAAAGATAAGACACTATAAAACATAGCAACTGACCCTTCATTGCATTCCACAACAATTTCAGAAACAAAGGAGTGCATATCAACATCTACGAAAGGGGGTGAGGTGGCCAGCCACACAGTACAAAGGAGAGCTTGAATGAGGGAGCAGGAGAGAACAATGGAAAGGGCCAGTCCTTTCCCAACCCACGTCCTCATCTTTGATCCTGGCTTGGTGGCCATGAAGGCAAGAACCACAGTGATGGTTTTGGCCAATATACAAGAAACAGCCACTGAGAAGATGATCCCGAAAGCAGTCTGTCGAAGGAGACAGGTCACCGCCATGGGCCTGCCAATGAAAAGCAGAGGACAAAGGAAGGAGAGGAGGAGGGAGATGAGGAGGGTGTAGGAGAGGCTGCGGTTGTTGGCCTTAATGATAGGAGTGTTGTGGTACTTCAGGAACACTCCTAATACAGAAACTGTAATAAAAGAAAAAATGATGGCCACTGTCATCAAGCTGCTTCCTAATGTTTCTTCATAAGAGAGGTATGTTCTGTATTTGAGAAGACAGAAATTCTGCTTATTGTTTGGATACTGATCTTCTGGGCACTGGAAGCATTGGTCCGTATCTGGAAGAGCAAATAATAGTAGAATGGTTAGGAGACCATTAGTCTGAGAATGAGAATATATTTTGGAAATGTATGTTAAACCAAGTGTTAAAGCAGGGAATTGGAGTTGATGTACAAATATAAATCATTAAAATATTAAAGGCATTGCCTCTTTTTCTGGATTTGTGTCTTTTAAAGTGTCTTTTAAAGGTCTTTTGATCATGCAGGCTGATGAAGACAGTGCAGTTTTACAAAAGGTTCAGGGAACTACATTCATCAGAGAAGCTGGGAAAGGAAGACAGCAAATAGAGCCAGGAATCTCTGCTTCAGTAGATGCAGGGATGGGCTGCTGGGGTTCGCAGAGGTTCAGGAGAACCTTTAGCTAAGATTCTGTGCAGTTTGGAGAACCCCCAAATCCCACTTCTGGCCCACCCCACCCTGCCCTCCCAGGAGTCCCCCTGCGGCCTGTTTTGGATGCAGGTAAGTGTAGGTCGTGCAGAGGCTCAGGGACGGTGCAAAACGGGCCTACTCGAAGTTCAGGAAGGCCAGCAACTGGTCTCCAGAGGGCCTCTGGCGCCCAGGGAGTCAGTTTTTGCCCTCCCAGAGGCTTAAGGAAAGCCTCCAAAGTCCGGGGAGGGCAAACCTCCCCCCTCGCCATGGTGCAGGAGGCTGACTAGGCCACACCCACCATGGGTATGCCCACCCAGCAACTGGGCAGAGAACCCTTTGCTAAAATTTTTGAAGTCCAACCCTGAGTAGATGGGCAGAAAAGGAGAAAGGTCAGTGCAGGGAGCTGGGAGAGAATGGGTAGAGAAGGAGAAAGGTCGTTGTAGGGAAAAATTGAATTCAGCAAAAGTTTCAAAAGACTTCAAAGATGCCTCAATAAGAAAGTTATTCAGTATTCCCTTCATCACTATTTTCATCAACTTTCACCTGATAATAAACCACAATAGAGAAAGAAATAATTGATAAACAAAAACTTTGGCTCATATAGTCCACTGTTTCCAGTAGAAATGCAATACTGTGTTATGAAAAGTTGTACACATTTAGGAAATTGAGTAATGTATTGAAATGATAGACAACATCCAGAGTCTTCCATAACATCTCTTACCTGTCTGATTTGTGATCTTTCCCTGCGGACATGGAATGCAATCATAGCAACAAAATGGTTCTCCTTCTTTTGCGGTCTTTCTGTAACCTAAAGGGCAATTATCATTACACAGGGAGAGAGGTAATATCTGCCCATGAAGGAGATAAAATATATTAATATATTTCAAAATAATATTCATAAATTGCAACATGTTGACATGGAGGTGCTCATGGAAGTTTTGCAATAAGGCCAAGAGGAAGATGGACTCCTTCTTACTCCACACATCAATTGCATGTTTCAGCTGTTACAGGTAATGCTCCTGTAAGCTCACCTACAATATAAACTTAATGACACACATTTTATTATTGGAAGCATAACTTTTGGGTCTTATAGCTGCCTCGGATTCTGCAGCAAATCAAAATTAAGTTACCAAAAATGTCAAACTGGCCAGAGTCAGTAAAACAATATAATTAACCTGATTAATACTATTGATTTGTAGAAATAGAAAAGGATTTCACAAGTATGATTTACCAACATCTTTTTTGAGATAATAGCTTACTTCTTAATGTAAGTTTCGTAAAACTATTCAAGAGACAAACAAAAAGCAACAAAGCACTGCTACATGCTATAATCTTCTTTGAGATTATGAATGGATTAACAAATGTGCCTATAGACAGAGTGACTTCAGAATGAGTTAAACATATATTGTGACATCATAATAAAAGTTCCTGGTTGAACTTCATTAGCAATGTCACACAGAAATATATGAGTTCCAGGAGCATTTGAAGTGAGTCACTGGCTCCCAATGGCACACATATCCAGTAATCAAATCATTGTCCATTTTAATGTGTACTGTAAGCTCTGCTCACTTAATAAAAAGGAACATAACTTTGAAGCCATAAGGTAACCCCATAAAATATACAGTTTGGGTCCCACTACATAATTTGCCACCTAACCTATCCATTGTATTCCCAATTATCACATGGATAGAGAATCTTTTCCTACAATGACTCAGTGTCAATTCGCAAAGCATCCCTGGCCTGCTCTCGAGTTGCCATAAGCAAGGGAGATGGGAAACTGATGAAGCAACACAGCAGCCAAAGACAGGAGTACATTCCAGACATCTCTCTCAAGGCTGTCTCCCAGGGTTACACACAGTGGCCAGAGGGGAGTAACCTGTACAACCCGCAAAATCGCTCTGTTGGTGAATGTGATTGATGACACACCCTGGGGGGAGAGGGGAAACAGGGTCATGATTAGGGCTGTAAATTATGTGGGGTCAGAGTTGACTTCATTTGGGTATGTGCCGAGCTCATAATAAATAACTGGATTTCTTTTGAAATCCAGTTATTGGCTTGAGGCTCATGATTTAATTAGGGCATCCATTGGAACCCTGACACTTAGATTCATCAACTCTTCCTATGATTGAACCAAAACAAAGTGAAATAGAATATATATTTTATCACAATAGTCACTTGACAATATATTAAATAAGTACATATTATCATGTGTCAGATTACTCAGTTCTTGATCAGTTTTTTTTTTCTTAAGACAAAAATGCTCAGCGGAAAATAATTAAATTGTGCTGGGTTTATGTCAACTTCCTGGGAATAATGAGCAAAGTAATAAATCAAGGAGGACATGGTGTGGATTCTACCTGATTAAACCAGATAAGATTGTCCTCTGAAATGGTCAGCATCTGATGTGAGAGTCCATCTGGATCTATGGTTCCCACTTTAACTCTATGGAAAGATTGGTTTGGGAATGTGACCCAGTTTATGATATCAAATCCTCCTCTGAATTCACCATTTTCATCGAAGGAAATCTTGTCTCCGGCACTGTTATTGAATGAAACTCCTCTCAGAAAATGGTGAAGCTAAAGAGCAAGGAGGGAAAAGTTAGAAACAAGATGAAAGCATGATATTGTGGGAAGGGCCCCTTCCCCAGAATAAAATATTCCACAGGATATTAAATGAGGCAGAATAGAATATTTCCCCTAAAGGAAAAGAGGTGAAAAACCACGTTAATAAAGGCAGAAAGCAGTCCCAGTCTTTCTGCTATATGAAAACAACTTCAAGCAGAAGCCTGAAGAGGCTAGGCTTTATGAATGGATATCTTGGTTAAGCCACTCTGTTCATAAACAAATAGCCACCAGCAGGTAAGGCCTTGCCTCTCCTCCTTTCCCAAGAAAGTGTACACTCTTGAAACATGATGATTCAAAAGGAACCTTTTATTGAGAAGAAGTGATAGCAGGACAAAGGCAAAACAAACTAAATTCCCTCCCAAACTATACAGTAAGACTTTAGAACCCCTCCCTCTAGTCCGATGTGGATTCAGCCAATCCACAGGTTTGAAGATATTATTGTAACAGCCATCCTGAGAAACAGATAAGGAGCCGTTCCCAGTGTCTTCTTCCACTTCCAACAAACTGAAATAATCCACATGCCCCTCCCTCCTTATTACATTCCACAAAAAGTGAGAATGCTTCAGGGCGCTTAGGCCCAGGATAAAGGTTATAAAATACAGCTTGTCCCTATGCTACTCCTCCTCCCTCCATTTGAATGACAGCATCACTTAGCACTAACAATAGAGAATAATTCTATAAAATATTTTATTACAAAGCTCAATTGAATTGCAGAAACATGTCTTTCTGTTTAGAAATGAGCCATGATCTTGATATATATGGCAGAAACATTATGTCATAAATCTATCTGGTGGGATTTTATAAGAATATTTCTTTTGAAAAACTATATAAAAATGGATCTGAGAATTAAATCGAGACTAGATTTCTTTGTCTGCAAATTGATTTTTGCAGAACAATAGTGCAAAACCAAAAACAACAAATGTCGCCCATTTTTGGAAAGATAACAGAGAAGTCCAACATGGAGAAAAATTTTTAAAGATCAAATGAAAGGAAATAATTCACATCCAATTTGGAATAAAATATTGGGGGAAGAGCATTGCACTGGACCAGAACTGGAACCTAGGCCAGTTCTACAACTGCTAACTAAACTGGAAAGTGCTAACTAAAAATGGAAAGAATCTACAGTACAGGGCAGCTCATTCCAACTTTTTTCTCTGCTGATTTGCTTGAGCCACAGATATTCATATATGCATGCAACCTGAAGAAAAAAATGATTCTTCTTCATGGAAATATGAAGATCTCTGGGCCCAAACATCTTACAATTATTAGTTAATCACACACAAACAATCACACACATTGCTCTTTAAACAGATATGGTGAGATAACCAATTAAATACAAAAAAACTCATAATATTACTGTTCTATCAACAGATATGGTGCCATATCTTGCACTAGTCTGATAAGGAGATTTACCTTCCACAGCTGGTGTTTCAGAATTTTCCATGTCATTCCTGATCTTTGATGGTCTATGGATAAATACAGGGCATGCAACGCATGTGCAACAGCATAGACAGCATTGTAAACACAGTAACTGTGGGCAGTCATCCTTGTTTCAAAAACAGTCATAGGAAGATCCTCCAACCTTTCCACTCCAGTGCAGATATTCTGGTCCACTGACTCAGTGGAAGAGTTTGGAATCAGACAATCAAACAGTTGTTGCCAGATCTCTTTCAAGAAGCCATCTCCTTTATGCAAAATAGGATTCCTCATCTGAACAAATCTCTGGAATCCGGTCACTTCCTTAGATTGGATTGCCAAGGATAGAGCACCATGAAGGAAATCCATGCTCCAGTTTCTTTGAAACAGGGTTGAGGTGAAGTCCACATCTGCTGTCATGATCCAGATCTTTCCTTTTTTCCTCGCCATATCATCATATTCTACAACGTTGAGTAAAATCCATAAAAACCCAACACTATGAAATTCTCCATGAAAGATCACTGCATTAGCTGTGCTCTTCAAGGCCAGGCTTATTTTGGCACGGTTTGTTTCCAAAATCACAGTCTGTCCTCCGGGTAACTCTTCAATGAAGTCAAAGCAGATGCCATGCTGTGAAAAGAAAGGTAATACCTTCCGGAGTAACAATTCTGCCTGACTGCCAATGCCAATATAAAATACGCCAATCCATGTCCATTTGAAATAGAGTAAGAGCTGAAGAATCCCATCATATTGATAATTAGCATTTGGAAAAAACCAATGGAAGAAAATAGCTTGATTTGTTCTCTTCCTCTCTGGAGCAGAAGAATAGGCAAGCTATGTGAATGGAAGCATAAAAGCAGAATGAATTCAAGAAAGGAGAAAGATTTATTCCATAAGAAATACATTTTCCCCAGTAAGACAGGGCTTAATTTGGTTCTTATGATTGTGATGCTTGAAATAAACTGGGTTTATGTGGTCCTGATTTTATTGTAAATTTTCTATCCAACAAGCACTTGGATGTCAATACAGTTAGGGATGTGTTTGTGTGCAGAAAAGGTGAATAAGACATTTACCTAGTTCCTTTGCAAAAAATATTAGATATCTGCCAATACCATCCCACAGTTCTCAAAGTATTTCCTATCCAATATGAGAGTGATAGCAATCTAATCTAATGATCTAAGTGTCAAAGCCCACTGTAACAACATTGCCAAAAAGGCATTAAGAGTTGTTAACCTAATCTTGCGTAGCTTCTTCTCTGGTAATATTGTACTTCAAACTAGAGCATACAAAACATTTGCTAGACCAATTCTCGAATACAGCTCATCTGTCTGGAACCCGCACTGCATATTGGACATTAATACAATTGAAAGAATCCAGAGATATTTCATGAGAAGAGTCCTCCACTCCTCTGCTTGCAACAGAATACCTTATGCCACCAGACTTAAAATTTTGGGCTTAGACAACTTAGAACTACGCTGCCTTTGGTTTGACCTAATCATAATACAAAAAATTATCTGCTACAATGTCCTACCTCTCAATGACTACTTCAGCTTCAACCACAAGAACACACAAGCATACAATAGATACAAACTTAAGGTAAACTGCTCCAAACTAGATTGCAGAAAATACGACTTTAGCAACAGAGTAGTCAATGCCTGGAACACACTGCCTGACTCTGTGGTTTCTTCCCCAAACCCCCACAACTTTAACTTTAGACTGTCTACTGCTGACCTCACCCCATTCCTAAGAGGTCTGTAAGGGGCATGCATAAGTGCACCAACATGCTTACTGTCCCTGTCCTAATGTCCCTATTTATTCGTATCCATTTCATGTATTCATAATCATGTTTATACTTATATGTTATCTTATACATGCTTGACAAAATAAATAAAATAAATAAAAAAATAAAAATAGCACTTAAACTTATATACCATTGCATAGTGTTGTACAGCACAGTCTAAGCAGTTTACACCATATCACCCCTCAACAATCTGGGTCCTTATTTTACAGTTCTCAGAAGGAGGGAAGGCTGAGCCATTCAGAGTCAAACTCCTGGCAGTGAGCAGAGTCAACCTACAATACTTCATTCTAACTACTGCACCATAATGGCTTTATGCAAGGGGGCATTGTGGGCAGTTTCTTTATTTTTTTTTCCTGTTCATGAAAGGAAAGACTACCTGTGCAATCTTGTATTGACTCAAAACATTTGATACACGAAGAAAATCATTTGAGTTAGGTCCTCCAATGACTGCTACTAGATTGTTCTGGAGATCACATCTATAGTTTGGGATGAATCTGCCTGGTGTGAAGAGGATTTCCATTGTAGCTGCATATGTAAGTTTTGGATTAAAATAATTGTTGTAGATATTAAAGCCCAAGGTGGTGTTGGTTAAGATGTGGGGATTTCCATTAATCTCCTTGACAGCAAATACAACAGCCAAGATGTGTTGATAGGTCTGAGTTACTAATCTGCAACTCAATTAGAAAATAATAAATACATTTAGTACATGTGTTTGTTGATTCACTTGCAATATTAATAATTCTCATATGCTTACTACCTGAATTCCTATCTAACACACTGAAAATATTACCGCATATCTACTAACATTAATTTTGAAGTTAGATAAACATGGACAATATAATTCCAGCATTAATCCTACTTGTACAAAATTTATTGTGTACATTTTCTTATCAAGTCAACAATAAAACTAATCCTACTATTTGTTAAATATAGATCATGTTTGCCATTCCTTAAAAATAATGTGTGGTAATGTGAAGGCAGCGGTCCATTGTTTGCAAACTTCAGTAGCTCCAAGGGACAGTTCGTACATATGAGAAACCTTTTTGGTATTTCTAAAATAAAATACTTGGTAATTGTTCAGATGTAGTACAAAATGTTTAACTTCAAAAGAATTGCTGAGTTGGGAAGTTCTTTTGGAAAGATTTCTACTGCAAGTAGTTCATATAAGTTTTGTTTTATCTGTTCATTGACCATAAATATTATCTATCTTATCTTATCTTATCTTATCTTATCTTATCTATCTATCTATCTATCTATCTATCTATCTATCTATCTATCTATCTAAAGAGAGGAATCGGAATATTTTAAGGTATGGGGACAATTTTATCATTGGTTAGAGTATATATATATGGTAATGTTGTAATGAAATAAGTGAAGAAGAAAGAAGAGAAAGAAGATAAATAAATGTATTAATAGAAAAGCAAGAAATGTGTGAGAAATGTTATAATAAATGAAATGATAATATTAAGATATGATAAATAGTGGAGGAGTAGGAAGAAGACACAAAAGATGTACTCAGATGATTCACTGATTGATTATGTATTGTATGTATGTTTGTTTGTTTATAAAATAAAAAACTGTTATAAAAATATCTATCATCTATCATCTATCTATCTATCTATCTATCTATCTATCTATCTATCTATCTATCTATCTATCTATCTATCTATCATCTATCTATCTATCTCTAGTATCTATCTATCACCTATCTATCTCATCTATTCTTTTGAAAGCAATGCAATGAAAGAGATTGGAACTTTAAACTTTGATACCCCAAAGTTATGAGATTTACTTTTTCTAACTAATATTTCAAACAGTAATATTCCACCACCTCCTTCTCCTCCTCTAGACTGATGAAATTAAAAAGAAAGAATCATTAGCTGGCAGAAATTCTCCACCCCACCTCCCTTCTCCCACAAATCAATAAGCAAACTGTATGTTCTTCAATTCTGAATATAAAGATACAATAGAGGTCTAAAGCATACAATTCCTTACATAAAGTCAGCAAAGAAATCTTCAAAAGGATGTCTTCTGAATGAGGTCTCCTCTGAAACTACAAAGCTCTGAGAAATTATACCACCAAGAATGAGGTCTCCTGGTTCATGATATTTATGAAGAAATGGACTCGGATCAGTGCTATGGCATTTTGAAAAAGGAACTTTGCAAACCCTTCTAGGAAACATTCCTAATATCAGCATCCCAACTGTAAGATGAGAAATTCTTCCTGTAAAAAGTATATTCACTCCCCACATGACTGGTGGAGCATTCTCCAACTGAACAGCCAAGATTCAACTGGAAAGCTGAGGGAGTTGTGAACAAACCTCTAGTTATTGAGCTACAACTCCTCTGTAGGCATAATTTCTAAGACCAAAAGGAATGTTTGAAGCACCTTTAAGTTTTAAAGTCCTAAACTGGTCATGTTCTATTGCATGTTACAGGAATTGCCAAATGGAAAGGAGAAGTCAATCAAGGAAGGGCAGATGATTACCTCACTAGACTTCTTCGTTATTCAAAACAGCAAGGAAAGAAATATATTTATCTGAGTGTTGCACAGAAATTCTTCAGTTTATTCCCATGGTGCAATTAAGCCAATTTTTTTTGTAAGGATGCCAAGGGAAAAACATGATCACAACAAATGAAAAACTACTGGAAAATATTTCTGCAGGTTCATGAAATTCTACAAGTTCATGAAATACACAAAAAAATGGTAGCCTAGAAATTCAAGCTGGCTTCAATCTTGATCACCTTAGATTGAATTAATTTTATATAGCTTGTCTTGAAACCTTTCTCAATGTGTCACCTGTAATTAACAATAGAGAAATGGAGATCTTCACTGAGATACACATGGATTTCCAAATATCATGGAATTGGGGCTTCAGGACTGGTATGTAATAGTGCAGTTCCATACCATATAGTAGCAGTGAAAAAAATGTAATGGGACAATTTTTCCTCAGCAGAAATAAAAAGACAGACAAGGATCTAGAGAGGTTTAATGTTCATATCATATCTATCATATAGGCTAAAATCTTGAAAAATAACAGATCATTATTGTTATTAGTTACTTATTTAGATAAAATCTACTTTCATTCAGTTAGAAAAATCAGATTGTAGAATCTCTCTCTCTATGATCTATCATCTACAGAATTTTGCAGATTAACAGAGTTGGAAGGGACCTTGCAGGTCATCTAGTCCAATCCCCTGCCCAAGCAGGAGACCCTACACCATTTCTGATAAATGGCAGTCCAATCTCTTCTTGAAAGCTTCCAGTGATGAAGCTCCTACAACTTCCGAAGGCAACTTCTGTTCCATTGGGTGATTGTTCTTACTGTCAGAAAGTTCCTCCTCATTTCTAGGTTGAATCTCTCCTTGGTCAGTTTCCATCCATTATTTCTTGTCTTCCCTTCAGGTGCCTTGGAAAATAGCTTCACCCCTTCCTCTCTGTGGCAGCCTCTCAAATATTGGAACACTGCTAACATGTCTCCCCTGGCCCTTCTCTTTACTAGACTATACATTAGCAGTTCCTGTAACTGTTCATCATATGTTTTAGTCTCCAGTCCCCTAATCATCCTGGTTGCTCTTTGCACTTTTTCTAGAATCTCAACATGTTTTTATAGTGTGATGACCAAAACTGGATGCAGTGTTCTAGGTGTGGTCTTACTAAGGCTTTATAAAGTGGTATTAGTACCTCACTTGATCTTGATTGTTTCTCTCTGTTTATGCAATTTAGGATTTCTTTGGGGGTTTTTTGGCTGCTGCTGTACACTGCTGGCTCATATTTAGTTGATTGTCACTAAGACTCCAAGATCCCTCTCACAGTTACTGCTATTAAGCCTGGTTTCACCCAGTCTATATTTGGACTTTTGTTTTTTCTTGCCTAACTGTAATACTTTACTTTTCTTTACATTGAATTTAATTTTATTAGATAGGGCCCAGTGTCAAGAGTGCCTGTCAAAATTCATCTATCTATCTACCTAATTTCAAAGGATTGTAATTATCAATACAGAAACTCATGCTGAGGTCTGGATTCTCCAGAGGTCATAAAAGGAGAGTTCCACCTAAAAGAATATTTCAGTTATCATTATCAAAGCATGGGAAGCAAAATAGCATACCGGTGAACCTAACAATGGCACCAATGAAAGAACTGCACAAATAGCAGTCCTCTTTATCCACAGAATGATGTTCTGGAAGAAAAGCTTTAGGAACTGTAAAAAGTAGGTTTTTTATATATAACATTAATTCTGTTTCTGCACTGTCTTTAACTTTCCATTTCCTTAATGACTGGGATAAGAAAATATGTTACAAGCAAAGCATAATACATTTTTGCAAAATATTTCTGAATCCTTTATCCATTAAAGAATTAGGAGCCATGTTGAAACGTATTGAATCAAGTAAAAATGATGCCTAATGAGATTCAAAGGGACGTGGTGGCTCAGTGGCTAAGATGCTGAGCTTGTCAATGGAAAGGTCAGCAGTTCAGCTATTTGAATCCCTAGTGCCGCGTAACAGGGTGAGCTCCCGTTATTTGTCCCAGCTTCTGCCAACCTAGCAGTTTGGAAGCACATAAAAAATGCAAGTAGAAAAAATAGGGACCACCTTTGGTGGGAAGGTAACAGTGTTCTGTGCACCTTTGGCATTTAGTCATGCTGGCCACAAGACTGTGGATATGTCTACAGACAGTGCTGGCTCTTTGGCTTTGAAATGGAGATGAGCACCGCCCCCTAGAGTCGGGAATGACTAGCAGATATGCGTGAGGGGAACCTTCACCTTTTTAATGAGATTTAATGGTAACCTCATATGGGAGAAAGACAAAAGATATGATTGTTTAAATAATTCTCTTTATTAGATGCTCTCTTTTATTCAAATCAGGCCTCACAATGATGATGTAGCATTTGGGGGAAAAAACACAAGTCAGGAGCCCAGCACTGGAAGCCAAGAGGGAGAAGATCTCCACAGCTACCGTATATTTTCCTTTGGTGCTCATATAGGCAGGGACAAATGACAACCACACGCTGCAAAAAACAAGCATGCTAAAGGTAATAGACTTCGTTTCCTGGAAACTGTCTGGTAATTTCCTAGCTAGGAAAGCTGCAATAAAGCTGACCATAGCCAGGAAGCCCATAAAAGATAAGACACTATAAAACATAGCAACTGACCCTTCATTGCATTCCACAATGATTTCAGAAACAAACGAGTGCATATCAAAGTCTGGGAAAGGGGGTGAGGTGGCCAGCCACACAGTACAAAGGAGGGTTTGAATGAGGGAGCAGGAGAGAACAATGGAAAGGGCCAGTCTTTTCCCAACCCATGTCCTCATCTTTGATCCTGGCTTGGTGGCCATGAAGGCAAGAACCACAGTGATGGTTTTGGCCAATATACAAGAAACAGCCACTGAGAAGATGATCCCAAAAGCAGTCTGTCGAAGGAGACAGGTCACTGTCATGGGCCTGCCAATGAAAAGCAGAGGACAAAGAAAGGAGAGGAGGAGGGAGATGAGGAGGGTGTAGGAGAGGCTGCGGTTGTTGGCCTTGATGATAGGAGTGTTGTGGTACTTCAGGAACACTCCTAGTACAGAAATTGTAGTCAAAGAAAGAATAATGGCCACTGTCATCAAGCTGCTTCCTAATGTTTCTTCATAAGAGAGGTATGTTCTGTATTTGAGAAGACAAAAATTCTTCTTATTGTTGGGATACTGATCTTCTGGGCACTGGAAGCATTGGTCCATATCTATAAAAACAAATTAAATGGAGTGTCAAAACATGGTAAAGTTTCAATCAGGCTGAGAATGTGGATATAAAGGACATATTTAGAAAGTTGTGTTAAAGCAAGAGTGAAAGCAGAGAATTGGGGTGTTTGTATAAATGTATATCATAATAACAATAATAGCAAAGTCCCTTTATGTGGATTTGTGCTTGGATAAAAATAATTGACCAAAGTCCTTTTTACAGATAGTTCTGGTTTATGTCCATAATTTGGACAACATTTTCAGTTGCTAAAAATATGCTTCTAAAACAAGCTGTCCTATAACTGCATTGCTTAGCACGCACAATCTCTACCCATTGTAGCCATTAACTGAGAATTGTGGGTCATTAAACAATAATAGCAATAGCAATAGCACTTAGACTTATATACCGCTTTACAGTGCTCTACAGCAGTCTCTAAGCAGTTTACAGAGTCAGCATACTGCCCCCAACAATTTGGGTCAGAAGGATGGAAGGCTGAGTCAACCTTGAGCCTGGTGAGATTTGAACTGCCAAATTGCAGGCAGCCAACAGTCAGCAAAAATAGCTTGCAATACTGCACTCTAACCACTGCACCACCGCAGCTCATACACTCAATCCAAGCCATTCCAAGCTTGGTGTCTCCCAGTGCAGAGACAATCCCCCCCCCTCACTTGCCTATCTCCTCTCGTCTAAGCCTTTTTGGTTACCCGGAATTCTATGTTGTGGGTGTCAAGTTTCAGGAGAAACCAGAATTCATTTGTGTTCTAGCAAGCACCAGATTTGTTTGCTCCCCCAGGTGCCTTCTATCTTAGTGCCCAGCAATGAGCTTTCTCCTTTACATCCCTTCTCCCAAAAGTTCCCAAGGTAAACCATTTTTCTCTTGTGCTTTTTTTTAATCCCACTTTGGGAGATAACATTTGATGCATTCCAAAGGCCTGTATTCCAAAAGAAGCTTTCCAAAGTAAGTTGCAATGTCTTTTATTGAAAAGTTTTATAGGAAATACAAACATTTTCACACACACCCCACCCTTCCCCCCTTAACCCCTCCCTAGACTTCCCAGAACAAGCACAGGGTATAGCATTCACAAATTAAAAACTAAAATATGCTAACAAATTATTACATTTCATATTCTCCCTAGATCCTTAACTCCTTATAACTCAAAAAACAAACATAAACTACTTAAAATTACTTCATTCATAAGCTATATGAATCTTCTTATTCGGATACTTCTTCCGTATGTAATCGATCCATCTTCTCCATTCCAATATGTATCTTTCATTTGAATGGTCTTTAAGATATGATGAAATTTTTGCCATTTCTGCCAAATGCACAACTTTTAATGTCCATTCCTCAATGGTGGGTGGATCTTCCTTCTTCCAGTACTGTGCCACCAGTAACCTGGCAGCCGTTATTAAGTTCAAAACCAACTTAGTCTCTATTACAGTACAATCCGTAACTATTCCCAACAGAAAGAACTGTGGTGTAAATTTAATTTTTTTCTTTAAAATATTTTGAATACTCCACCATATTTTTATCCAAAAAGCCTTAATTTTTTTACATGTCCACCATATATGAAAGTATGTAGCATCTTCACACTCACATCGCCAACATTTGGGTTGTAAATTTGGATACATACAGGCTAGTTTTTTGGGATCTAAATGCCATCTATAAAACATTTTGTAAAAATTTTCCCTTAAATTTTGTGCTTGTGTAAATCTTACATTTCTAACCCATATCTTTTCCCATGTTTCCATCGTTATTGGCTCACCTACATTTTGTGACCATTTTATCATACAATCCTTGACTAACTCTGTTTCTGAATCTATTTCCACTAATGCGTTATACAACCTTTTTATATGCATTTGACCTTTATCTCTTATTTGCTTTATCAAATTCTCATCCTGCTGTAAAATACCAGTTTTTTTATCTTCTCTTCATCTCGCCAGCAGCTGTCCATACTGAAACCAAGTCCTAATAATCCCCTCTTCTCTCAATTGCTCCATAGATTTTAATTGTAATCTGACTCCTTCCTTATAGAGGAGTTCCTTATATGTAATCTTATCTTGCTTTTGCTCTAAATTTATATTCTCTATCGCGTGTCTGGGTACTGTCCATATTGGTAACCTATCATTTAATTTATATTTATACTTTTTCCAGACACGCAAGTGGTTAGAGTGCAGTATTGCAGGCTACTTCAGCTGACTGCTAGCTGCAGTTCAGCAGTTCAAATGTCACCAGCTCAAGGTTGACTCAGCTTTCCATCCTTCTGAGGTGGGTAAAATGTGGACCCAGATTGTTGGGGGCAATAGGCTGACTCTGTAAAACTGCTTAGAGAGGCCACTATGAAGCGGTATATAAGTCTAAGTGCTATTGCTATTGGTATCCCTTAATGGAAATTGACTTAAATATTTCCTTCATCACTATTTTCAGAAACTTTCATCTGCAAGTAAATCACAAGAGAGAAAATGAATTTTAAAGAGAAAGCTTTGTCTCATATCCTTCACTGTTTTCAGCAGAGATGAGGTACTCAGGTATGAAAAGTTGTACATATTTAGGAAATTGAGTAAGGTATTAAAACGATGGATAACATCTGGTATCTTTCATAACATCTCTTACCTGTCTGATTTGTGATCTTTCCCTGTGGGCATGGGATGCAATCATAGCAACAAAATGGTTTTCCTTCTTTGGGGGTCTTTCGGTAACCTGAGGGGCAATTATCATTACAGAGGGAAAGAGGCAATACCTGTCCATGAAGGAAATCAGAAAAAATCTTAATATATTTAAAATAATATTCATGGATTGTCGTTGAATATGTTGAGATGGTATTGCTTATGGAAACAGAGGGATAAAATCAAGATCACATGAAGTGTTAATACCACTGTATAATGCCTTGGTAAGGCCACACTTGGAACACTGCATCCAGTTTTGGTCACCACGATGTTAAAAAAGATATTGAGACTCTAGAAAGAGTGCAGAGAAGAGCAACAAAGATCATTAGGGGACTAGAGGCTAAAACATATGAAGAACCGTTGCTGGAACTGGGTATATCTAGTCTGATGAAAAGAAGGACTAGGGGAGACATGATAGCAGTGTTCTAATATCTCAGGGGCTGCCACAAAGAAGAGGGAGTCAAGCTATTCTCCAAAGCACCTGAGGGTAGGACAAGAAGCAATGGGTGGAAATTAATCAAGGAGAGAAGCAACCTAGAACTAAGGAGAAATTTCCTGACAGTTAGAACAATTAATCAGTGGAACAACTTGCCTCCAGAAGTTGTGAATGCTCCAACAATGGAAGTTTTTAAGAAGAGATTAGATAACCATTTGTCTGAAATGGTGTAGGGTATACTGCCTAAGCAGGGGGTTGACTAGAAGACCTCCAAGGTCCCTTCCAACTCTGTTATTCTAAATGTTGTGATAAGATGGACTTCCTTCTCTACATATCAACTGAATGTTTCAGTTGCTGCAGGTAGTTGCTTCTGTGAGCTCACCTACATTATAAAACTTAATGGCATTCATTTTATTCCTGTTAGATTAACCCCTGCATCCTTTAGCTGCCTCAATTCTGAAAAAAAACCCACCAAAACTAATCAAACTAAATAATCAAAAGTGTCAAACTGAACAAGACAATAAAACAATATTTAGGAGCCTTGATAGCACAGTGGTCTAAGCACCCTGTCATTAACACAGCTGCCTGCAATTACTGCTGGTTCGAATCTCTCCAAGGCTCAAGGTTGACTCAGCCTTCCATCCTTTCTAAGGTAGGTAAATTGAGGACCCAGTTTGTGGGGGCAATAAGATGACTTTGTATAAATATACAAAAGTATGAAGGCTATTGCTTAACGCATTGTAAGCCGCCCTGAGTCTCCGGAGAAGGGCGGCATATAAATCAAATTAAAAAGAAAAAAAGAAAACTAACCCCATTAAAATGATTGATTGATGTCATATTCCTTTCTTCTGGAATAAGGAAATAAATTCAACCTCACTTATTTTTTTTCTCTTAATCTATTTTATCTCAATTTCCTTGCTATTCTTTACATACTTTCTGCAATTTGCAGGCTGTTGTTTCTCTAGTTAAGACTATATGGTGTGGTTTTTGCAGATGACCTAATGTTAACCTTCATCAAAGTTAACATTAGAACCAGAGTTCAGCTAAGAATACTTCCATTACACTTTTGCCAACATGTGGTGTGAGCTTATTTTGCCAAGTGAAGGAGTGAAATTCTCCCCATAAGATAATTCAACACTAAACAAAAATTTAGAAGAAATATACAGAAAATCTGATAATATTTGGAAAAGAATCTGGCAAATATGATTTACCAATATCTTTGAGATAATTACTTTTAAAAATTGCATAAAATTATCCAAGGGAAAAGGAAAAAACAACAACAAAATGCTATTGAATTATATAATACCCCCCCTTTTTTTATTGGTAAATGGGTTGACAAATGTGTCTGTAGGCAGAATGACTCCAGAATGAGATTGCATATATTGTGACCTCCAACAGAAAGTCCTGGTTGAACCTGCATATACAAAGATATGAGTTCCAGGATCACTTGAAGTGAGTTACTGGTTCTTAATGGCACATACTGTCAGTCCTGAAAGCCATCTTTTACTTTGGATCTTCAGAGCTGCCACTTTTAGTGCTGTAGGAAATTAGGAGGGGGGATTGTTCGAGAGATATCTAGCCATAATAACATTCTTTTCTTGGAGAGTCAAGGACATCCTGCCCTCTACCTGGAGTGGTGTGACTGGGAGGCATCTCCAGTTGGGACGGCGCATTGATTGGACCATGTGATGGACATGTGGGTGCTGGGGCAGGGACTTGGACTTTCTTTTGGGTGGGGAAAACCTGGAAGCTTTCAGATCCAGGTTTTCCCAGATGTGCCAATATGACATCTCTAATAAAATGGAACTTTGAGGAACTTCTAGCCTCGGAGTCTTCTTTCATTGGGGGTGTTACTTGGATCCCTGACACATACATTTAACAAACAAATCCTTTGCCATTTTAACGTGTGCTGTAAGCTCTAATCATTTAATAAAAAGGAACAGAGCTTTGAAGCCAATGACCATAGCCGAGGATACTGCCATAAACTGTACAATTTGCTCCCACTCCATCATTTGTCAGCTACTGTAACAAAAGGACTCAAATTCACTGACAATTCCTATAAGTGAAGCAGAACAAGGTAAAAAATGAATATATATTTTACTAGAATACTCATTTGACCATCTGACCATAGAGTAAATATATAAGGTCAGGTTTTTTTTCCCTTAAGACAAAAGTACTCAACAAAATATGATGCAATTGTGTTAGGGCTATGTGACTCTCAGAGGTGGGATTAACATAATTTACCTACTGGTTCACCCACCACTGAAAACGTGAGTGCATGCTCTTTGCTCGTGTGAATGCCTTTCGCGCATGCGCCCGGACTGAAAACCATGCCTAAACAGGACAGCATAGAGCGGGGGTGGGGATGGGGGCAGCACCCACCCGCAATTTCTGCTACCGGTTCGCCCAAACCAGTCAGAACTGGCTGAATACCACCTCTGTTCTCCTTGGAATATTGGGCAAAGTAATACATCAATATGGAACATGAGATGGATTCTACCTGATTGAACCAAGTAGGCCAGATGATGTTATCCTCTGAAATGGTCAGCAGGTGACGCGAGAATCCATCTCGATCGATGCTTCCCACCTTAACTCTAAGGAAAGACTGGTTTGGGAAGGTGACCCAGTTTATGATATCGAATCCTGTTACAAATTCACCATTTTCATCAAAGGAAATCTTGTCCCCAGCACTGTTGTTAAATGAAACTCGTCTCAGAAAATGGTGAAGCTAGACAGCAAGAATGGAAACATAAATAAATGAAAAGACATAAAATCATGGTATGAACATTTATTGTTTATTTATTTATTTATTAGTCACATTTTTATGCCACATTTTACTTAATATATTGAAAATCTCAAAACTAGTTAATGTTTGTGTAAGCTAAAGACCTTGAACACTTTTACCTTGATTACTTTTCCAAAAGTATATGATAATAGTATGACAATAAAATGTAAATAAATCAATAATTAAGGATGAGCAGGTAACTTTATGCAAACTTATGCTAATATACTGAGATAAATATAATAGTGGTAAACTATAATCAACTACCATACTTTTCGGAGTATAAGACACACTTTCTCCCCCCTAAAATAGGGTGGAAATGTTGGTGTGTCTTATACACTGAATACATACATTTTTGGCCTCCCAAAACCCCACCCCGCGCGTCCCATTTTTGCCAAAAACAGGCCCATTTTTCACAAAAATGGGATGTGCAGAGGGTTTGGGAGGCCTGCAAAGTGCTCCTGGGGGCTGGGGAGGGAAAAATGTGATGCATGGGGAGTTTCAGAGGCTAAAAATGGGCCAGTTTTTGGCAAAAACACGATGCACAGAGGTTTTGGGAGGTCTGCAGAGTGCTCCTGGGGTTTGGGGAGGGCAAAAACTGGATGCACAGAGGCCAAAAACTATTATTTTTCTTGGTGCATCTTATAGTCTGAAAAATATGGTAGATTATGTGCAAATTAGGATAAAGATGTACAGGTCTATCAAAGAGAGACCTGAAAGTATGAAATATAGGTAGTTCTAAAGCTGAAAATACAAATCTAAAGTTTAACTTAGCACTTACAATAGACAATTATCCTATGAAATATTTTGTTACAAAGCCCAACTGAACTGCAGAAATTTGTTTTTCCATTTAGAAATGAGCCATGATCCCAATATACCTAACAGAATCATGAAGTCATTAATATAGATGATAGGATTTTATAAGGAGATTTCTTTTGGAAAAATGTTAAAAATAGATCAGAAGAGTAAATTGAACATTGGATCAGATTTCTTGCTTTGCACATTTTTTTGTTTTTTTACGAAAAATAGAAGAAAACCAAAACTAAATAAAGATCTGCAATCAATGTTACCCATTTTTTGAAAGATAATGGAGAGAATCTAGCATGGAGAAAAGGTTCAAAGGAAGGAAAATAATTCACATCCATTTTGGAATAATTTATTTTTTGGGCAGAGGGGGAGAAATAGCATTGCACTGGATGAAAAATAGAATATACGATAGTTGTAGAAACAAAAACAAAATTGCTAACTAAAAATATACAGAGCAGAGAGTAGGGGGCAACTGACTCCAAGCTTTTTCTCTGTTGATATTCTTGAGTCACAAATGTTGATATAGGCATCCCACCTGGAAAAAATAATTAACTCTTCTTCATGGAAATATGAAGATCTCTGGACCAAATATCTCACAATAATAAATTAAATACAAAAAAACTCATAATATTACTGTTCTATCAACAGATATGGTGCAATATCTTGCACTAGTTTGATAAGGAGATTTACCTTCCACAGCTGTTGTTTCATAATTTTCCATGTCATTCCTGATCTTTGATGGTCTATGGATGAATACAGGGCATGCAAAGCATGTGCAACAGCATAGACAGCATTGTAGACACAGTAACTGTGGGCAGTCATCCTTGTTTCAAAAACAGTCATAGGAAGATCCTCCAATCTTTCCACTCCAGTGCAGATATTCTGGTCCACTGACTCAGTGGAAGAGTTTGGAATCAGACAATCAAACAGTTGTTGCCAGATCTCTTTCAAGAAGCCATCTCCCTTATGCAAAAGAGGGTTCCTCATCTGAACAAATCTTTCAAATCCTGACACTTCCTTAGATTGGACTGCCAGGGATATAGCACCATGGAGGAAATCCACATGCCAGTTTCTTTGAAACAGGACAGAGGTGAAATCCACATCTGCGGTCATAATCCACACCTTTCCTTTTTTCCCTGCCATATCATCTTCTGCAATTTTAAGTACAAACTGTAAAAACATCACACTCTGAAATGCTCCATGAAAGATAACAGCATTAGCCCTGCTATTCAAGGCAAGGCTCATTTTGACACGGGTTTCCTCCAAAATCACATCAAGCTCACCTAATGCCCCACCTGGTAACTGTTGAATGAAATCAAAGCAGATGCCATGCTGCGAAAAGAAAGGTAATACCTTCTGGAGCAATGATTCTGTTTGACTGCCAATGCCAATATAAAATATGCCAATCCATGTCCATTTGAAATATAGCAAGAACTGGAGAATGGAATAATACTGATAATCAGCATTGGGGAACATTGAATGGAAGGAAATTGCTTGATGTGGTGTATTCATTTCTGGAGCAGAAGAATATGCAAGCTAAGAGAAGGCAGGTGTAAAGAAAAAGAAGACAGAATAGGACAAGGTTTCAGAAGAAATTGTGGTTTACAATTCTTTTTGGCGAGTCCCTTGGACTGCAAGGCAATCAAACCGGTCAGTCCTAGAGGAGATCAACCCTGACTGCTCTTTAGAAGGCCAGATCCTGAAGATGAAACTCTAATACTTTGGCTACCTAATGAGAAGGAAGGACTCACTGGAGAAGAACCTAATGCTGGGAACAATTGAGGTCAAAAGAAGGGGACAAAAGAATGGGGTGGCTGGATAGAGTCACTGAAGCAGTAGGCATGAGCTTAAATAGTCTCCAGGGGATGGTGGAGGACAGGAAGGCCTGGAGGAACATTGTCCATGGGGGTTGCGATGGATCAGACATGACTTCACAACTAACAACAACAACAAATTCTTTTTGGTTGTTTTTGCTGTAATCCCCTCAGCATATTGTGATTTCTGAAGCTGTGCTGCCTATTTTTGACTCAAATGGCATGGTCCTGAGAATAATGTAAATTACACCTTTTATGCATTGCTAAATGGAAGCCTGGTTATTAAAACATTTAACCAAGGTAAAATAGACTTCAGTGGAATTACTAAAAGTAACCTGATTTTCAAAATTAATTAAATACATAAATCCATGTTTTGTGTAGAAATTCCCTTACTGAACTCAACATTTGGTTTCCACTTTTTTTAGTGTTCAAATAAGCATTCTGTAGCTAAAAAAATTAAACTCTTTTGTTTATGACAAGCTAGGGGATTGTGAAGGATTTCTTCAGTTCCTAATCCTTCATGAACAAGATCTACCTGTATAATCTTGTATTTATTCAAAATAGTTGCTACGTGAAGAAAATAATCTGAGTTAGGTCCTCCAATGACTGCGACCAGATTGTTCTGGAAATCACATTTGTAGTTTGGGGTGAATCTGTCTGGTGTGGATAGAATTTCCATTGTAGCTGCATATGTCAATTTTGGGTCAAAATAGTTGTTGTAGATATTGAAGCCCAGGGTCACATTGGTTAAGATCTCAGGATTTCCATTTATCTCCTTTACAGCAAATACAACAGCCAAAATGTGTTGATAGGTCTGAGTGAGCAATCTGCAATTCAATTTAAAAAAAAATATTAAGTACCTGCAGGACATATGTTTGCAGAGATACCCAATTGCAATCCTAATGATTCTAAAGTTGGTTACTCTCTGAATTCATATCAAATAAACTGGAAATATCTTCATATATGTACTTGCATTAGCAGCCAAATGTTGGAAATATTATTCTACAATTAATCCTACTTGTAAAAAAAATGTTCTGCAAATTTTCTGAGCAAATCAATGATAGACTAATGCTGCCCATTTTTCAACTGGGCTCATCTTTTTTAAAAAAATCAAACATAAAGAAAAACAATTTAAAAATTGTGGTAATATGAAGGCAGTATTCCTTTTCTTTTGCAAACTTCAATAGCTCCAATGTTGAGTTGGTATAGATGAGAAATCTTTCTGTTCTTTCAAAAATAAAATGCTTGGTGGTTTTTCAGAGGTGGTAAGAAATAATTACTTCTGCAGAGTTAAAGCAAGGTGGAAATTTCTTCTGAAAGTTTTTTTTTTTTTTTTGCTCTAATTAGTTTATATAGCTTCTTTACATAGCTTTTTCTTTATGTAGCTTCTTCTCCAATAATATTGAACTGCAAACTAGGGCACACAAAATTTTTGCTAGACCAATTCTTGAATACAGCTCATTTGTCTGGAACTCACATGTATATCGGACATTAATACAATCGAACGAGCCCAGAGATATTTCACGAGAAGAGCCCTCCACTTCTCTGCTCGCAACAGAATACCTTATGCCACCAGACTTGAAATTTTGGGCTTAGACAATTTAGAACTTCGCCGTCTTCGGTCTGACCTAAGCGTAGTACATATAATTATCTGCTACAATGTCCTACCTGTCAATAAATACTTCAGCTTCAACCACAACAATACACGAGCATAAAACAGATACAAACTTATGGTAAACCATGCCAAACTTGATTAGAAAATACAACTTCAGTAACAGAGCTGTTAATGCCTGGAATGCACTACCTGACTCTGTGGTTTCTTCCCCAAACCCCCAAAACTTTAACCTTAGACTGTCTACTGTCTACCTCACCCCATTCCTAAGAGGTCTTTAAAGGGCGTGCATAAGCACATCAACGTGCCTACAGTACTTGTCCTAATGTTCCCTTTTTATTCATATCCATTTAATGTATTCATAATTATGTTTATACTTATATCTGTTATCTAATACATGCCTGATGAAATAAATAAATAAATAAATATACTATAGTTTTTATTTTATCTTTATCTATTGATCACGATAAATATTCTCTCTCTCTCTCTTTCTCTTTCCTATCCACCCCAAACTCCTCCTCCATTCCCCAAACAAAACAATAAACAACACCTGTCTAAAGATCCAATTACTTACATATATTCAGCAAAAATGTCTTGAAAAGGATGTCTTCTAAATGTGATTGTCTCTGAGATTATAAAGCTTTGAGAAACGATACCACCAAGAGTGAAGTCACCCAGTTCATGGTGTTTATGAAGAAATGGACTGGGATCACTGCTAGTGCATTTTGAAAAAGAAACTTGGCAAACACTCCTAGGAAGCATCCCTAATACCAACATCCTGACGGTAAAGTATGAAAATCTTTCTGTAAAAAGTCTATTCACTTCTCCCATGATTGGGGTGGGGTGGGGGAGGGCAGTATTCCTCAACTGAACAGCCAGGATTCACTGGAAAGCCTTCTAGTTATTGTACTACAAGTTTTCTGTATTGATAGTTTTCAAAGACCGAAGGGAATGTTTGAAGCATCCTTTTGGCAAAAAGTGCCAGACTGGTCATGTGCTGTTGTATTTTAGAGCAAATTGCCCTGTTGAAAGGAGTCATCAATTGTAAACCCTTACCAGAATTCTTTATTGGGAGGAAAGAAATATTTTCATCTGGGTGTTGCACAAAAAATTAATCAGCTTATTCCCGTGGTGCAATTAGGTTTTTGCAATGACTTTCCTGAATGATTGTCAGGGGAAAATAATGAACACAATAGATGAGGAACTTCTGAAGAAAGTTTTTCATGAGATTCACATAAAGGTAGGAAACCTTGTTTATATATTTGCAATGAAATAGGGCTATACCCTAGTTGCTGTTCTTTTATTTTTATTTTTTTAAAATATATTTTTATTGTTTACATATAAATACATATGGAATACAGTGTGATTGTCCTGGCATTTCACTTGCCATAAAAACCAAAATTAAAACACATAACATATATACTATTTAAACAACGCTAGTGTTGTACAGTTATTTTTGAGCATCATATTCATTCTAATATAACGATGCATATATAGTATCCCTTTCCAAGTCCACCTAACCTATTTTTTTCATATCCCAACTTCCACCTCATGCTTCTAACCATTGATAGAATCTGTTCCATGTATCATAATATTCTGTCTCTTCTTTGCTTTTATTTTTAATGTTAGTCTATCCATTTCTGCACAGACTAGTACCTTCCTTATTATCTCCTCCTCTGAAGGGGCGTTTTCACTCTTCCACTGCTGTGCATTCACCATTCTTGCTGCGGTCAGGATGTGTAATATTAGGTGTATTATCCCTTTATCATAGCCATCTGATATAATGCCTAATAGAAATAATTCTGGCTTGTACTCTATACATTGTCTAACCATTTTTTCTAACCACATACAAATTTGTATCCAAAATTTCCTTGCTTTTTTTACAGGTCCACCACATGTGGTAGTATGTGCCTGGTATTTGTTTACATTTCCAACAGTTTGGGGACATATTGCTAAACATTTTAGCCAATCTTGTCAGGGGGAGAGGCCACCTATTAAACATTTTATAAAGATTTTCTTTCTATGATGTGGCTAATGTCAATTTCCGATTTTTCTCCCAAAGCTTTTGCTAATTGTCCAAATCAATATTATATCCAAAATTTTTAGCCGATACAACCATTGTTCTTTTTCCATTTTATAGTCTAATAAATAATTGTATAGTATCCTTATCAATTTGTCATCAGTCCCCACTAATAATTTATCCTATGTTATTAATTCTCTATAAAAACCCCATATTTTTACATCTTTCACATAACACGATTGTATCTGCAGGTATGACCACCACTCCAGTTCCACTCCTTGATCTTTTAATTCTAATCTGGTTTTCAGTTCACCCTAGGATATTTAGTATATCCTTATAAGAAACAATATTTTCTATACTTGTAAGATTTGGGTGTATCAGTGCTGTTCTTTTAATGCTTTATGTTAACTAAATAGTCACCCCTGAACAAAAGGAGAATGCCAGCCTCCAAACATCTACCTATGTAAGCACAAAATACTAATATATTGTGAGTGCTGAGCTACTCAGTATAATAGTATTTCACTGCATTATTTAAAAATTACTTTTATGTAAGTCAATTCATTTTCTATACAGCTGCTTTATTAGTTTAATTTTAGAATATTCAGTATTCAGTAATACAAATCATATTACTTACTTTTATCCATTTACAGAAATGTTTAATATTTTAATTCCATTTTTTGTGTCTTCCTGTAAATGCTATTTACTAACTTTAATTAAGATATCAGGTTCACTAAACTAAAACAACCCCATTAAGCTGAATATCAAATAAATCTATGTCTGAGAAGCTAGATCCCAGATTTATCTGATTTAGAAAAATACATAAATAAGGCCAATTGTGAAAAAGCCCACTGCACAATTTTTAGATCTTTGGATGATGCACTAGACTTACCTCAAGTTCCTTGAAATGGATTATATGACCTTTAAAGTACCTCTCAAAATTGATGCCTCATGAGATTCATCAGACAATGCTAATTTAATGTTAAAAAAAAAAAGAATTGCTTAAATAATTCTCTTTATTAGATGTTGCCTTTTATTCAGATCAGGCCTCACAATGATGATGTAGCATTTGGGGAAAAAGATACAAGTCAGGAGACCAGCACTAGAGGCCAAGAGGGAGAATATCTCCACAGCCACTGTGTATTTCCCTTTTGTGCTCACATAGGCAGGGATAAAGGACAACCACACACTGCAAAAAAGAAGCATGCTGAAAGTAATAGATTTGGTTTCCTGGAAAGTGTCAGGTAGCTTCCTTGATAAGAAAGCTACAATAAAACTGACCATTGCCAGGAAGCCCATAAAAGACAAGACACTATAAAACATGACAACTGATCCTTCATTGCATTCCACAATGATTTCAGAAACAAAGGAGTGCATATCAAAGTTTGGGAAAGGGGGTGAGGTAGCCAGCCACACAGTACAAAGGAGGGTTTGAATGAGGGAGCAGGAGAGAACAATGGAAAGGGCCAGTCTTTTCCCAACCCACGTCCTCATCTTTGATCCTGGCTTGGTAGCCATGAAAGCAAGAACCACAGTGATGGTTTTGGCCAATATACAAGAAACAGCCACTGAGAAGATGATCCCAAAAGCAGTCTGTCGAAGGAGACAGGTCACCGCCATGGGTCTGCCAATGAAAAGCAGAGGACAAAGGAAGGAGAGGAGAAGGGAGATGAGGAGGGTGTAGGAGAGGCTGCGGTTGTTGGCCTTAATGATAGGAGTGTTGTGGTGCTTCAAGAATACTCCTAATACAGAAATTGTGGTGAGAGAAAGGAAAATGGCCATAATCATCAAGATGCTTCCTAACATTTCTTCATAGGAGAGATAAGTTATGTATTTGAGAAGGCAGAAATTATTTTTCTTATTGGAATACTGATCTTGTGGACACTGGAAGCATTGGTCCATATCTGCAAAAGTAAGTATAAACAGAAAATGAAGAGATAGTTGAAAGACCACCATTCAGAGGATGAGGATTTATGTAAAGGTTACGTTGGCCGTGTATTTGTTTAAAATAAATATGTTTTGGGAGAGATAGAGTGGTGTACAAATGTAAATAATAATAGTAGTAACAACTTAGTCTCTTCCATGGGGTAGGCTGCTGGGGGTTTGGGAAAACCACTAGCTATGATTCTTTCCAGTTTGGAGAACCCCCAAATCCCACTCCTGGCTGCCCCCACCCAGTCTGCCTCACCCCGCCCAGGAGTCCCCACGTGGCCCGTTTTGGATGCAGGTAAGTGCAGGGCATGCATGGAGGCTCAGGGAGGGTGAAAAATGTGCCTACTGGAAGTTTGTTTCCGGCCTCCAGAGGGCCTTCGGAGCCTGGGGAGGCCATTTTTGCCCTCCTGGTGGCTTGAGGAAAGCCACCGGAACCCTGTCAGGGCAAAAACGTTCCCCCCCCCCGCCATGGCGCAGGAGCTGACTAGGCCATGCCCACCATGGCCACACCAACCCAGCAGCTGGGCAGAGAACCCCTTGCTAAAATTTTTGAAGCCCACCCCTGGTGTCTTCATGTGGATTTCTGCTTGGATGAGAGTAAATAACCAAGGTCCATTTTGTTTATTTATTTTAAAAGCATAAACATCAGAATGGTATTGGCAAACCTTCCTACAAACGAAAAAGAAAAGGTTCATATTGAGATTGTTCTAATTCAACCAAAGTTAGGAAGGACTTCAAAGGTACCTTAATACAAGATGTATTCAATATTCCTCCACTACTACTTTCACAAAGTTTTAGATAGTAAATCAGAACAAAGAAAGGAACAACCTTTAAAATAATAAGTTGAGTGTAACATGTAAGTGATGGAGGACATTCATAATCTCCCTGACCTGTCTGATTTGTGATCTCTCCTTGTGGACATGGAATGCAGCCATAACAGCAAAACGGTTTGTCATCTTTTGGGGTCTTTCTGTAACCTGAAGGGCAATTATCATTACACAGAGAGAGAGGGGATACCTGCCCATGAAGGAAATAAAAATATGTTTATAAATTTGGAAATATTATTCACAGATTGTCATTACAATATTTTGAGATTGTTATAGCATCTGAGTCAGGGGAGATTCCAACCTCCCTGACACAGATGAAATGGCACCAGAAGTATAAATAATTCAACAGCCCATGACTCATAGAAGTAACCAGTGGTGGGATTCTGCCAGTTCTAGGTGGTTCAGCCAAACCGTTTGTTAAATTGCTGGCTCACCCCGCCCCTTTCCCCACCCCTCTGCACCACTATTTATTGGCCTCGGCCCTCGCAGCACAAGAACTGTTTGTTAAATTGCTGGCTCACCTGCCCCTCCCCACCACTATTTACTGCCAATAAATAGTGGTGGGGCAGGGGCGGGGTGAGGGGCGGGCAAGCCATCAATTTAACAAACGGTTCAGTGTTTGTTTGTAATTTATTGCCCTTGTAGCACACCGAACCGTTTGTTAAATTGCTGGCTCACCCACCCCTTGCCCCGCCCCGCCCACCCACTATTTATTGGCCTCGCTTGCAGTGTTGCACAGCTTGCCTTAGTGACACATTGAGGCATAGCTGCAGTTATTCTTTGGCTCCTTGACCACGTGGCCCAGCCAGTTTTCCTAACTTTGCCCATGGCAGCCTCCCACTCTGTTCCCAAACGCCCACCTCAGACTGCCCCCAACCGCTCCAGCAGCAGAACAGGCAAGTACAGCCGAGTGCTGCCCTCGGGGAAGTGGGGCTGGGAAAGGTGGTCAACCTGCACCCGCAAGGCTGCCGGCTGTGGCCTACCCCCATCCGAGCACCTTGTTAGTGGCTGGCGGCCGCGTGGCTAGCGAGGTGCTTGGATGGGGTGACCAGCATCTGTGAGCCCAATCCAAGTGCTTCGCTGGCCAAGCGCCTTGCTAGCCATGTGGCCGATATTCACTAGCGAGGTGATTGGATGGGGATAGGTTGTGGCCACATGGCTAGCGAGGCGCTTGATCAGATATCCAGTGGCTGGCGGCCGCTGGCTACCCCATCCAAGCGTCTTGACCTGCCACCGACCCAGCAGGACTGTCCTGCAGCTGCCTCCCACCCGCGCAGCGCCAGCCTACCCTACCCCATTCAGTCACTGGGGGAGAGACGTGCAACTTTTCTCCACCCCGGAACACTGGCTGCCCAGGCTGCAGCCGATGCTCCGTATCGTAATGGGCTCCAGGAGGAGGAGGGGCACTGTCTGCCCCATTGCGAAGCTCAGTAAGAGCAACCAGAGCTAGCTGCAGGCGGAGCCAGGAGGGCGCACATGCAGTGGGGCACAGGCTTAAGATGCTGCCTCCAGGCTGAGGGGCGACCTGATGGTGCGGTAGGTGTGCTGCCGCCGCCGCCACCACCCAGGCAGAAGAGGAGAAAGAGAGATGGAGAGAAAGAGAGATGAAGGAGAGAAAGAGGGGGGAGAAAGAGATGGAGAGAAAGACAGATGAAGGAGAGAAAAAAAGGGGGGAGAAAGATGGATGAAGGAGAGAAAGAGAGGGGGGAGAAAGAGATGGAGAGAAAGAGAGATGAAGGAGAGAAAGAGGGGGGAGAAAGAGATGGAGAGAAAGAGAGATGAAGGAGAGAAAGAGAGGGGGGAGAAAGAGAGATGGAGAGAAAAAGATGAAGGAGAGAAAGAGGGGGGAGAAAGAGAGATGGAGAGAAAGAGATGGAGAGAAAGAGAGATGAAGGAGAGAAAGAGGGGGAAAAAGAGAGATGGAGAGAAAGATGAAGGAGAGAAAGAGAGGGGTGAGAAAGAGAGATGAAGGAGAGAAAGAAAGATGAAGGAGAGAAAGAGAGGGAGGGAGAAAGAAAGAGATGAAAGAGACACACAGAGATACCTGTTTAAAAGGAAATACTGAGAGCCACAAAACCTGGATGGGAGTAAGTGATATGGAGTTGGCAATGCCCACCCAGGTTTAAGGTTGTGCTTAAGTGTTTACATGTGTTTAAGGTTGAGTGTTTAAAGTTACAGACCCCTGACCTACCCCATCCGATCGCTTCAGCCTGCAGCCAGCCCTGTAGGCCTGTGCCCGCCTCCCATCTGGACAGCAGTGGTCTACCTACCCTGGTTGTATCACCTTGCCCTGCAGCCAGCCTGAACGCCTGCCTCGTACTCCTCCGTCCACTCCAGCAGATCATTTTTATTTAATTAATTTAATTAAGAATGTTGCAAAGGGCATAAATGATGATTGGTCAAAAGTGCGAGGACCTGTCAGAAATCACTTTTTTCAGCCCTCTGGGTAGTCCCTATGTGCATATGGACTACTCAGAGGCTGAAAAAGTTATTTTTGACCGGTCCTCGCACTTTTGACTGGTCCTTGCACTTACGACTGTCCTCACATTTTACGTTTTGCACCCTATCTTGTCACCGTGGTGAAGAGAAGTAGTTGTGAAATGAGTGACACGGTTGTTAAGAATGCTGCAACGGGCATAAATGAGGATGGTCATAAGTGCGAGGACTGGTCAAAAGTGCGAGGACCTGTCAGAAATCACTTTTTTCAGCCCTCTGAGTAGTCCCTATGCACATAGCCATGCCCACCAGTCACATGACCAGCTAGCATGCCCACCCAGTCACATGACTACCAAGCCACACCCCCAACTAAGCCCTGCCCAGAGAACCGGTTGTTAAAAAATTGAATCCCACCACTGGAAGTAACACAGCAAGAAGATGGGCTCTTTACTTCTCACATAAACAGGATGTTTCAGCTGCTGCAGGCTGTGATTCCGTTAGATTCTAAATTATGAATTTAATTACCCACATTTTATTACTACAAGGTTAGCTTCTGGTTCAGAAAATAGCAATAACACTTAGACTTATATACCGCTTCATAGTGTTTTTACAGCTCTCTCTAAGTGGTTTACAGAGTCAGCATATCTGACTCTGGGTCCTCATTTTACCCATCTCGGAAGGATAGAAGGCTGAGTCAACCTTGAGCCTAGTGAGATTTGAACTGCCAAACTTCAGCTACTAGTCAGCTGAAGTAGCCTGCAGTGCTGCACTCTAACCACTGCACCACCTTGGCTCTTAGCTGAATATGCCCTCCAAAAGTCTACACTTTGGGTCCCATTGCACAATGTGTCACTTAACGCATGCATTTTACCCCAAAATATCACATGGATATTTTCATGAACCCTAGGACTCAGATTCATCAACAACTCCTATGACTGAAGCAAAACAAGGCAAAATAAAATATATTTTTACCAGAATAGTCACTTGAACATATACTAAATATATACAGTCTTATTCCCTTAGTCCTTGGTCAGACATTTTGTTTTCTTCACAAGAAAATACTCAACAGAAAATAATGCAATTGTGTTAGGTTTATGTGAATCTCCTTGGAATATTGGTAAAGTAATCAATCAATGTGGACAGAATATGAATTTTACCTGATTGAACCAGGTGGGCCAGATGAGGTCATCCTCTCTAATGGTCAGCAGGTGATGTGAGAGTTGGTCTGGATCTATGGTTCCCACCTTAACTCTCAGGAAGGACTGGTTTGGGAATGTGATCCAGTTTATGATATCAAATCTTCCTACAATTTCTCCATTTCCATCAAAGGAAATATTGTCTCCGGCACTGTTATTAAATGAAACTCCTCTCAGAAAATTGTGAAGCTAGACAGCAAGGTGGAAAAAAAAGCATGGTCTGAAGCAGTGGTGGGATTCAAATTTTTTTACTACTGGTTCTGTGGGTGTGGCTTGGTGGGCATAGCAGGGGAAGGATACTGCAAAATCTCCATTCCCACCCAAATCCAGGGGAAGGTTACTGCAAAATCCCCATTTCCTTCCAATCAGCTGAGAGGCAGAGAATAGATGAGGGTGGGGCCAGTCAGAGGTTACCGGTTCTCCGAATTACTCAAAATTTCCGCTACCGGTTCTCCAGAACTGGTCAGAACCTGCTGAATACCACCTCTGATGGGAACTATGCTGGTGTAAAGGATTTCTGATTCATGTCCTGCCTAAATTTAGGTTTACTTTACTTTGAAGGTTTACTTCTAATGCTTTGCAAAATGTTTATGTTACCAATATGATCAAGGTCAGAAAATGAAGTCAATCCAGCATGGATATAAGGTTCAAATGAAGGAAAATACTGTAATTCACATCCAACTTGGAATAGCCTTTTTTTGGGGGGGGGGGGGGAATAGCACTGCACTGTGAATTGGAACCTAGGATAGCTGTAGAAATGAAAACAAAATTGCAAACTAAAAATGTACAATATAGTGTATGGGGCAGCAACACCCATACCCTTTTCTCTATTCATATACATGAGCTGCATATATTCATATATGCAAACTCTTTGAAGGAAACATTGCCGTGATGGTATTCAGCCGGTTCTATCCGGTTCGGGAGAACAGATAGCGATGGCTGTGGGAGGCTCCGCCCACCCACCCAAATATCATCACGTCCTGTTTTTGACCCTCTCCGCATGTGCTCACATTTGCGAACCAGTAGCAAAGGTAAGTGGATACCATTCCTGAAACATTGGTTCTATGAAATAAGAATTTCTCTGGGCCCAAATATTTCATAATTACCAGGTAAACACACACACACACACACACACACACACACACACACACACACACACACACACACACAGTGTGTGAGAGAGAGGGAGGGATAAAATGATAATATTACTGTTCTAGCAACCAATATGGTGAGATACCTTGCACAATTCTGTTGAGAAGATTTACCTTCCATGACTGTTGTTTCCTATTGTCATGTTGTTGTTTCCGTGTCATCCCTGGTCTTTGCTGGTCTATGGATGAATACAGGGCATGCAAAGCATGTGCAGCAGCATAGACAGCATTGTAGACACAGTAACTGTGGGCTGTCATCCTTGCTTCAAAAACAGTCATGGGAAGAGCCTCCAACCTTTCCATTCCAGTGCAGATATTCTGGTCCTCTGACTCAGAGGCAGAATTTGGAATCAGACAATCGAATAACTGCTGCCAGATCTCTTTCAGGAAGCCATCTCCCTTATGCAAAAGAGGGTTCCTCATCTGAACAAATCTTTCAAATCCTGACACTTCCTTAGATTGGACTGCCAAGGATATAGCACCATGGAGGAAATCTATGCGCCAGTTTCTTTGAAAGAGGGCTGATGAAAAGTCCACATCTGCTGTCATGATCCAGACTTTTGCTTTTTTTCCTTCCATATCATCATAATCTACAATTCTGAGTAAAATCCATAAAAACCCAATACTCTGAAATTCCCCATGAAAGATCACTATATTAGCTGTGCTCTTCAAGGCCAGGCTTATTTTATCATGGGTTGCTTCCAAAATCATATCTGTCTGTCCACCGGGTAACTTTTCAATGAAGTCGAAGCAGATACCATGTTGTGAAAAGAAAGGTAATACCTTTCGGAGTAACAACTCTGTCTGACTGCCAATGCCAATATAAAATATGCCAATCCACGTCCATTTGAAATAGAGTAAGAGCTGAAGAATCCCATCGTATTGATAATCAGCATTTGGAAACATCCAATGGAAGAAAATTGCTTGATTTGTTCTCTTCCTCTCTGGAGCAGAAGAATAGGCAAGCTAATTGAATGGAAGCATAAAAGCAGAATGAAACAAAAAAAAAAAAAAAGCAGAAGGATTTATTCCATAAGAAATATATTTTCCCCAGTAAAACAGGGCTTGGTTTGGTTCCAAGACAAATTCCTTGTGTGTCCAATCACACTTGGCCAATAAAGAATTCTATTCTATTCTATTCTATTCTATTCTATTCTATTCTATTCTATTCTATTCTATTCTATTCTCTAGTGTTTGTAGGATGTAAAAATTACAATAAAATCAGAGCCACATAATTCCAGTCTATGGAACACAAGAATAGAATAGAATAGAAATTTGAATAAATGAAATATTCTATTCTATTCTATTCTATTCTATTCTATTCTATTCTATTCTATTCTATTCTATTCTTGTGTTCCATAGACTGGAATTATGTGGCCCTGATTTTATTGTAATTTTTACATCCTACAAACACTTGAATGTAAATATATTTTGTTTGGGATATGTTAACATGAAGAAAAATCGGGATGACATATTTATCTAGTTTCTCCTGCAGAAATAATAGAAACCCACCAATACCCATCACACAGTTCTCAAACAATTTCCTATTCAACAGGAGAGGGAATTTATAGACAGTTTCTTTATTTTTTCTCCCATTCACGAAAGGAAACACTACCTGTGCAATCTTGTATTGACTCAGAATAGTTGATACATGAAGGAAATCATTTGAGTTAGGTCCTCCAATGACTGCAACCAGATTGTTCTGCAAATCACATTTATAGTTTGGGATGAACCTGCCTGGTGTGGACAGGATTTCCATTGTAGCTGCATATGTAAGTTTTGGATTAAAATAGTTGTTATAGATGTTAAATCCCAAAGTGGTGTTGGTTAAGATGTGGGGATTTCCATTAATCTCCTTGACAGCAAACAAAATAGCCAAGATGTGTTGATAGGTTTGAGTTCCTAATCTGCAATTCAGTTGGAAAATCATAAATACCTTCATTACGTGGGTTTGCAGAGAGATTCACTTCCAATATTAATAACTCTGAACTTGGTTGCTATCTGAGTTCATATGTAACAAATTGAAAATATCTCCACATATATACTAATATTGATTTAGAAGTTAACAGATTAATATGAAAAACATAATTCCATCTATGATAACCAGCCCACTTGTACAAATTTTGTTGTGTACATTTTTATCAAGTGCACGATAGAACTAATCCTATAAATTTTCAAATGTAGTATTTGGATCATGTTCACCATTCCTTAAAAATAATGTGTAGTAATGTGAAGACAATTGTCCTTTGTTTGCAACCTTTTGTAGCTCTAAGGGACAGTTTATACATTTCTGGTGTTTCTAAAATAAAATGCTTGTTATTTTTTCAGACACACTAAGAGATGGTTAACTTCATAAAGAATTGATGAGTTGGAAATTTCTCGTGTAAACATTTCTGCTGCAAAAATTTTATATAATTTTTTTTCTGGTTATTGACCACAAATATTTTCTCTCTCCATCTCCATTTTCTATATCTACATATCTATCATCTATCTATCTATCTATCTATCTATCTATCTATCTATCTATCTATCTATCTTCTGTCTATAGTGACCAAAATTGTGGAAACATTTGGGGAAAATGTATTTTTGAGGTTTGATGGCTAATAACACCATTTTTTTTTTTTTTGAGTTTCAAGATAATCATATTCCACTGCTGGAATGGTCTGGGAATAGCCCAGATCTTAACCCAATTGAAAATCTATAGAGCCGACTAAAGAAACTTGTTAGTCAGAAGCGACCCAGTAATAAAACCCAGTTAATAAAAGCAATCATTCAATCTTGGTTTCACATTATAACAGCTGCAGAACTAAAAGACTTGGTTCATTCCACAGGAAGATGTTGTAAGGCTGTAATTCATGCTAAAGGTTACCCAACTAAGTATTAACTGACATGGTGATAATTTTTGTATACCTCGTTTTTTCTATGTGTTTCACTTTTCTTCTTTATACTGTTACTGCTATTCTTATAGCAAATCCTTCATAAAAGTTATTGCATTACATTCTTGATTAAATTATCTTTCCATTGATTTATCATTTTATGGTACTACTACTACAAAAAAATGGTGTTATTAGCTAGTTTTAGAAAATACATTTTTCCCAAAGGGTTTCCACAATTTTGGCCAGTACTCACTCACTCACTCACTCACTCTATCTATCTATCTATCTATCTATCTATCTATCTATCTATCTATCATCTATCTATCTAATCTATATCATTTATTCCTTGGAAAGCAAGAAAGAGATTGAATCTTTGATTCCCCTCTCTTTGAGATACTTTTATTTTCTAACTATTATTTGAATAGCGATACTCCATGACCTCCTTCTCCTCCTCTAGATTCTTGAAATGAAAAAGAATAATTAGCTACCAGAAAAATGTCCCCTCTCACCTTACCCTTCTCCCATAAACCAATAAGCCAATTTTATTCTTATCATTTCTGACTTTTATCAGGACAGAGATACAATACAGGTCTAAAGCAACCAACTCCTTACACAAATTCATCAAAGAAATCTTCAAAAGGATGCCTTCTGAATGAGATCTTCTCTGAACCTACAAGGCTCTGAGAAATTATACCACCAACAATGACGTCCCCTAGTTCATGATACTTATGAAGAAATGGACTTGGAGCATTGCTATGGCATTTTAAAAAGGAAACCTTGGAAACTCTCCTAGGGAGCATGCCTAATACCAGCATCCCAACTGTAAGATATGAAAATCTTCCTGTAAAAAGTCTATTCATTTCTCCCATGGCTGATGGAGTATTCTCCAACTGAACAGCCAGGAGTCAATGGGAAAACCGAGGGAATTGAGAACAAATTTCTAGCTATTTAGCTACAACTCCTCTGTATGCATAATGTCTAAGACTGAAAGGAATGTTTGAAATATTCTTTCAACTTAAATGGCTAAACTGGTCATGTCCTATTGCATGTTACAGGGAGTTGCCAAATTGAAAGGAGGGGTCAATCAAGATTATAAGGACAGGACAGATGATTGCCTCACCGGAATTTTTTATTATTCAAAACAGCAAGGAAATAAATATGTTTATCTGACTGTTCTTCAGTTTATTCCCATGGTACAATTAAGCCATGTTTTGTAATGATCTATGCCAAAGAATGCCAAGGGGAAAATGCAATCACAACAGATGAATGCTTTTTATGATATTTGTATTAAGTTCTGCATTGTTCATAAGATACAAAAAATTAGTAGCCTAGAAATTTAAGTTGGATCCTATTTTGAGCACTCTAGATTGAATAAGTTTTATACAGATTCCCAAAGTACCTTGAGATTTTTCTGAATGTGCTACAAATGATGCAACCTGTAATTAAATTAAAGAAATGAAGATATTTACTGAACTAAACATGGATTTATAAATGTCATTTATTTAGACCTTCTAGAATTGGTCTGTAACATTGCGATTACATACTAGATCAGGGGTCACCAACCTTTCGGACCTCAGGTCCACTAAATTCATAATTTTAAATTTCACTGACCACTAATATGATCTGCCTAATAACCAGGTGGGTGTGGCTAGGTGGTCATGTGACTGGGTGGTCATGGCCCACTTGATGTCACTCACTTCAAGGGGCACCTCGCCGGCCTCTACTCACCTCCCCACCCGGGCTCCTTAGGACCCCAACAGGAAGCAGTTGTTGGAGCTAAGCAGCCACCATGAGAAAGAGTTGGCAAAACAGCTGGCTCAGTTCAAATTGGATCTAACCGAGAAGGAGGCTGAGCAGAAGCACCTCACTGAGGACTATGAGCATAGCCTTTCCGAGCAGAAGAAAGACCTGTGGGAGTGTAAGGCCAGGTACCAGCACCTGGAGGCTCAGCGAGTGAGATGGTCAGCCAGTTCCAGGCCATGATGCAGTCCCACTAAAACAAGGCCCTCCGGCTCTTCGCCACTAGCGGCACTTCCCTCCAGCCTTCACCCAAAGTCCCACACCAGTAGGCTGAAGCAGACCCCAAGTCAGAATGCCCCCCTCCGACCTGCACACAAAGACACTGAACGGGGAGATTCTCTGAAGCAACACAAAGGTTCATTGCATGTATCCGGCACAGGGGCTATAGTTTGAGGACTCCTGATTTAGTGCAATATAAAAAATTCAAATATTTTTTTTCTACAGACCACCAAAAAATTTTCGTGGACCACCAGTGGTCCATGGATCCACCAGATGGTGATCGCTATACTAGATGGTAGCAATGTAAAAAAGGCAGCAAAAGCTGCCTTCTTCAGCAGAAGCAACAGCGACAGGGACCTCTAG